GCCCTCAGCCCTGGCCAGCCCTCAGCCCTGGCCAGCCCTCAGCCCCACAACACAAGATGGAGGCCTGCACCAGCCATGTGAGTCAAGGGGGCTACACATAAGGCGTGCTCTCACCCGCCGCCCATTACTAGCGTGGCCAGGATGGACTCTTTTTGTTGTTGGTGTTGGCCTCCAGCATGATGTAAACACGTCATGGTTATCCCAGGAACAAGTTATGGTAAAGTGAACGAGGAAGGTTATTCTCCAAGATCACTGCGAGCTGCAAACATCAGCCCTCGCACGGAATATTAAACAGGTGTGGGGGGCCCAGGCTGTGTGCTTGTGTCTTGGAGCAGGTGTGGGGGGGGCCAGGCTGTGTGCTTTGTGTCTTGGAGCAGGTGTGGGGGGCCCAGGCTGTGTGCTTGTGTCTTGGAGCAGGTGTGGGGGGCCCAGGCTGTGTGCTTGTGTCTTGGAGCAGGTGTGGGGGGCCCAGGCTGTGTGCTTGTGTCTTGGAACAGGTGTGGGGGGCCCAGGCTGTGTGCTTGTGTCTTGGAGCAGGTGTGGGGGGGCCCAGGCTGTGTGCTTGTGTCTTGGAGCAGGTGTGGGGGGGGGCCCAGGCTGTGTGCTTGTGTCTTGGAGCAGGTGTGGGGGGCCCAGGCTGTGTGCTTGTGTCTTGGAGCAGGTGTGGGGGGCCCAGGCTGTGTGCTTGTGTCTTGGAGCAGGTGTGGGGGGCCCAGGCTGTGTGCTTGTGTCTTGGAGCAGGTGTGGGGGGCCCAGGCTGTGTGCTTGTGTCTTGGAGCAGGTGTGGGGGGCCCAGGCTGTGTGCTTGTGTCTTGGAGCAGGTGTGGGGGGCCCAGGCTGTGTGCTTGTGTCTTGGAACAGGTGTGGGGGGGCCCAGGCTGTGTGCTTGTGTCTTGGAGCAGGTGTGGGGGGCCCAGGCTGTGTGCTTGTGTCTTGGAGCAGGTGTGGGGGGCCCAGACTGTGTGCTTGTGTCTTGGAGCAGGTGTGGAGGGCCCAGGCTGTGTGCTTGTGTCTTGGAGCAGGTGTGGGGGGCCCAGGCTGTGTGCTTGTGTCTTGGAACAGGTGTGGGGGGCCCAGGCTGTGTGCTTGTGTCTTGGAGCAGGTGTGGGGGGCCCAGGCTGTGTGCTTGTGTCTTGGAGCAGGTGTGGGGGGACAGGCTGTGTGCTTGTGTCTTGGAGCAGGTGTGGGGGTGCCCAGGCTGTGTACATGTGTCCTGGAGCAGGTGTGGGGGGCCAAGGCTGTGTGCTTGTGTCTTGGAGCAGGTGTGGGGGGGCCAGGCTGTGTGCTTGTGTCTTGGAGCAGGTGTGGGGGGCCCAGGCTGTGTGCTTGTGTCTTGGAGCAGGTGTGGGGGGGCCAGGCTGTGTGCTTGTGTCTTGGAGCAGGTGTGGGGGGCCCAGGCTGTGTGCTTGTGTCTTGGAGCAGGTGTGGGGGTGCCCAGGCTGTGTACATGTGTCCTGGAGCAGGTGTGGGCCGAAGGTTCCTGTATCAGACCGTCCTCCCAGGTGTGGGCTGCCCTGGTGAGCTATGTTATCTTCTTCTCACTGAGTAATACTTCTCCAACAGGGCAATATAACCTAAAGGTACCTACAGGCCGCTAGCCAGACCCGTCCTCAACTTTCAATTAGATAACGTGTTATCCGCCCCCCAGCCGTGACCTTCCTGACCCCTAGCACCTCCCCTAGCACTGCTCCTAGCACCTCCCCTAGCACCTCCCCTAGCACTGTTCCTAGCACCTCCCCTAGCACCGCTCCTAGCACCTCCCCTAGCACCGCTCCCAGCCGTGACAGTTCTCACAGCAAATCCATTACCACGAGAAACTACACCGAGTATTTTGAATATTAGAACTGTGGATTCATGTAAGATCTTTGGGTAGACGCGGGTGTTGTCATGCCTCGCAGGTGTTAGAGCCCAGCATCACATGTTGACCGGAAGGTGTTTGAAGATGTTGAATGAGTTCTTAGCACAGTTACCCGCAGATACAACGCTAGTGACGTCATGGAGATATCCATTGATATCTGCTACTGACTGAGGGCCTGGGGGGGGAGGGTTGCAAGGCTGTCATCCATCAGTGAGGGTCATTGACGGATGGCAGCACATCCGTCTTGGTCAGAGTAGTCGTGGGTGGTGAGGTCTGATCGGACCGTAGCCAATCAGCCGGGGGCTTGTCAATCAGTCAACTAGCCAGACAGTCAATCAGTCAAATGGTCAGTTATCACTGAATATATCAACTGGACGGCAGTCATCAGTGACTCCATCAATCAGCTGAGCAAGGGCCAGACAGCTTCCACACACTCACACGCCGGCTACACCCTCTCACCTGTGTCGTCTGCCACTTTGACCAGGGGACTTGACCAGGGGACTTGACCAGGGGACTTGACCAGGGGACTTGACCAGGGGACTTGACTAGGGGGACTTGACTAAGGGACACTGAACAGGGGGCCCTGGTGCAGGACGTGAACGGTTCCTGTTCAATCTACTGGAAAAAAAGTTCGACAATTTTGTAAACGCCTCGAATATCCGGCAGACGTGTTGTTGTGTAGGTGGTGGTAGTGGTGATGGTGGTGATGGTAGTGGTGATGGTGGTGGTTCAGGTGGTGGTGGTGGTTCAGGTGGTGATGGTAGTGGTGATGGTGGTGGTTCAGGTGGTGGTGGTGGTTCAGGTGGTGATGGTAGTGGTGATGGTAGTGGTGATGGTAGTGGTGATGGTTCAGGTGGTGATGGTGGTGGTTCAGGTGGTGATGGTAGTGGTGATGGTGGTGGTGATGGTTCAGGTGGTGGTGGTAGTGGTGGTGGTGGTGGTTCAGGTGGTGGTGGTGGTGGTGGTGGTTCAGGTGGTGGTGGTGATGGTAGTGGTGATGGTGGTGGTTCAGGTGGTGATGGTGGTGGTTCAGGTGGTGATGGTAGTGGTGATGGTGGTGGTGATGGTTCAGGTGGTGGTGGTAGTGGTGGTGGTGGTGGTTCAGGTGGTGGTGGTGATGGTAGTGGTGATGGTGGTGGTTCAGGTGGTGATGGTGGTGGTTCAGGTGGTGATGGTAGTGGTGATGGTGGTGGTGATGGTTCAGGTGGTGGTGGTAGTGGTGGTGGTGGTGGTTCAGGTGGTGGTGGTGGTGGTTCAGGTGGTGGTGGTGATGGTAGTGGTGATGGTGGTGGTTCAGGTGGTGATGGTGGTGGTGATGGTGGTGGTTCAGGTGGTGGTGGTGGTGGTGGTGGTGGTTCTGGACTAAGGTAAAGCTTGCTCACCTGCCAGTGTTGCCAACACGTGAGCTTGCTGATCTCAACGTATTTTGCATAAGCGGCCAAGCAGAATTTGCATATTCTGAGATTCATTGCTCAGCCCCCGGTCGTTATGGAGGTCGTTAATTGATATTGGCAGCCAAACAAGGAAAACACTACTCAAAGCTACCTGTATTTCAGGAAAACATCTTTATCGTCATATATATAAGTCTAATACTGGTTCATGAGAGCTCAGGGTATGTGGTCTGAACCATAGGAGGGAACTGAGACCCATTGGGGCTGTGGGAACGGGCTAATGAGAGAGTGATTTCCTAAAGGTAAGATTGACTTAAGCCATTATGACTATATAGCACTTGGAAGGGTCAGGATAAGGATTTAGGATCGTACGGGGAGAAAGGAATGGTGGTCAATCATTTGGACGGTCGGGGATTGAACGCCGACCTGCATGAAGTGAGACCGTCGGTCTCTCTCTCTCACTAGCTGCTGGTTGTTTGTGTATTTGTAATTTGCCGTTTGTTTCTCTATAGATAGGATAAAATATTTTATTCTGTTACAGCTGTTGTATTTCCAGCTATCCATATGTAGAATAAAACCGAGCAATGTTGTTGTTGTTAAAGATTCGCTACTTGGAACGAGGTTCCAAGTAGCACGGGCTATGGTGAGCCCGTAGTAAGCCCAAGCAAGTGACATCTTTGCCAGTATTGTGATTGGTGTTGGTGGTGTTCGTCCTTCCTATGCGATAAACCAACCCAAAACCCGGAGAGTGCTTAGTTTTACCAGGAGATCACCCAGGGCTCTTCTGGCTCTTGGAGAGGGGCGCAACGTCACACGTTTAGGGGATGCGGCTCCAACACTTAGCCTCGTTGTCACGTGCACACACCCACTCGAGCCGCTGTGACTCCCCACTCTCTCCTCAATCCCCTTTGTTTTATTCTTATTATTCTATTCTACCCTGTCGTCTTGCACGCTAATGACAACCAAACACTCTACCAACTCCCTACCAGTAATCAACCAGAACTTCCCTTCCACATCTGGAAGTTCACTACCCTGACATCTTCAGGTTCTTCAGGGTTTATCTCCCAGGATCCTCCGCAGCTCCTCCAGGCTGCTACACCGTGGTCTTCCTTGATCAACAACGGTGCTTCACCACTGGTATCACAAAAGCATGTGAACTTTACTCCACTGCTTCTCCTCTCACAGCTTGAGGTTCAACTCCTCACTATAGGGTCTGCTCTTCCACAGAGCTCAGTGTTTCTTCAATAGCCTTGGAGTTCCATCCACTGAATCCTCCTCTACTGGCCTCGAAGCAACTCCTTCCAAAGACAAACCTGCAACCTATTGACACGCCAATAAAAATGTTTCCCTTTAAACACAAACGAAAATAACCGCATAATATGTTGGCACTTAACATCTCTCTACATACTGTGAGAGTGGACTCCCCCGTTTGGGCGGGTCCATGCTCCGCCCGGCCAGGCGGCCTCGAGGCAGCTACTCCGCCAGGAGCTGGGCTCTCTCAGTCACCTGCCAGCGCTCGGAGGAGATGGATGTCGCTCCGTCCTCTAGGACGTTCCTCCATCTCTACTCTTTTATTTTAGGTCTTCTGCCTTACCAAAACATGTCTAACGTATTAATAAACATTCGCTACGATCGCTGGGCACGCGATCAACTCCCGGCAATCACTGTAAACTGGCTAAATTTGGGCTTACCGCAATAAGGTCTCCTGCAGGGCGCTCTGTGACAGGGCGGTGACACTCAGGCTACCCATAGAACTGCCTTAACTGCCCCCTCAACACCTGCAGTTCCTGACTTGAGCTGACACGCCTCCTAACTTATTCCTCAGTTGAGACGTCTATCCACTTCCTTCCTCTTGAGGGTATATCAACTTGGAGTGCCTCTCTAATAGGAACAAACACGGAGTGCAGCTTCCCCTCACGACTTCTTCAGCTCAAATGGCTCAAGCTTCTCTCAAACGAGCCTCACGTCGCCTCCAGCAAATTATCCACATCGCATAACCAGTCATTTCTCTATATCCTGATTCACTGCCCATATTCTTAAATTGTTTATCAAACCCCAACCAATTATTTTACATCTGTATCTTCATGTCCACACTTCTGTGACCTCTTTTTCAGGTCAGGTCTTGCTGAATAACTCTCAAGGGGAGACTCGTTTCTCCTGCAGGCTGAGATCATAACAGCAGTCAATTCAATTTCTTTCTTTATTATGCACCCCATACCCGTCCCGTGGGCGGTGGTGTAAAGGATTAGAGGCACATAATCGGTTCAGGAACTGAACCCTCTAGTTCGTTTAGCTAAGCAAATAACAATTTTTGACGCTAGTTACAAAATTATTAATGTTGTATATGCATGTTCACACTCTCATACATACATGTACATATATATATATATATATATATATATATATATATATATATATATATATATATATATATATATATATATATATATATACGTATACATATATTCATACACATACATATCTAATCACCCACACAATTACACACATCAATAATCTTTGTGTCACAAGTGATCAACAAGAGGCTCACAACAGTCACTATACAAGGCACTTTACATCTATAGTGAGTCACACAGTTACTAGTCTTGCTCCACACCCACCCAACTGGGCGGCAGCTTTAGTCATGTGCTCCACACCCCACCCAACTGGGCGGCAGCTTTACAGTCATGTGCTCCACACCCACCCAACTGGGCGGCAGCTTTAGTCATGTGCTCCACACCCCACCCAACTGGGCGGCAGCTTTACAGTCATGTGCTCCACACCCACCCAACTGGGCGGCAGCTTTAGTCATGTGCTCCACACCCCACCCAACTGGGCGGCAGCTTTACAGTCATGTGCTCCACACCCACCCAACTGGGCGGCAGCTTTAGTCATGTGCTCCACACCCCACCCAACTGGGCGGCAGCTTTACAGTCATGTGCTCCACACCCCACCCAACTGGGCGGCAGCTTTACAGTCATGTGTTCCACACCCCACCCAACTGGGCGGCAGCTTTACAGTCATGTGCTCAACACCCCACCCAACTGGGCGGCAGCTTTACAGTCATGTGCTCCACACCCCACCCAACTGGGCGGCAGCTTTACAGTCATGTGCTCCACACCCACCCAACTGGGCGGCAGCTTTACAGTCATATGCTCCACACCCACCCAACTGGGCGGCAGCTTCGTTCCAAGCTCGCTTCCTTCTATACGTTAGGCTTCCCGACGTATTTACCTGAATTTACCTGAGGTCCACTAACACTAGTGGTCTCCACGAAGACAGGAATTCTTGCGTGAATATAATAACAATTTAAATAATTTTTTCCTTTTAGATATATACAAGAGTTGTTACATTCTTGTAGAGCCACTAGTACGCGTAGCGTTTCGGGCAGGTCCCTGGAATACGATCCCCGCCGCGAAGAATCGTTGTTACAACCAAGTACTCATTTTACTGTTGAGTTAAACAGAGGCTACAGTTAAGGATTTGCGCCCAGTCAATCCTCCCCGGCCAGGATACGAACCCAGGACAAAGCGCTCGCGGAACGCCAGGCGAGTGTCTTACCACTACACCACGGAGACTGTTGGGGGCCTTAATCTTTCATAGGTGCTACTAGACTGACCCTTTTATTGCTTAACAACAGTTAGCCAATGGTTATCAAGATTTGATCAATTAATATCTTGATACGGTAATCACTCGCTCAAATATTGACTTTGATGATTGATTACTATCATATTATCATACTAATGAAGGAATAATGAAATAGAACTAATTAACCATCATTTGAGACTGATATAGTTGCAAGTCAAGTGAATTAAATTTGTATAAAGTTATTGCAACAACAGTTTGATGGGTTGTGCTAGGATACAGAGCAACACCAGTTTGATGGGTTGTGCTAGGATACAGAGCAACAACAGTTTGATGGGTTGTGCTAGGATACAGAGCAACACCAGTTTGATGGGTTGTGCTAGGATACAGAGCAACAACAGTTTGATGGGTTGTGCTAGGATACAGAGCAACAACAGTTTGATGGGTTGTGCTAGGATACAGAGCAACAACAGTTTGATGGGTTGTGCTAGGATACAGAGCAACAACAGTTTGATGGGTTGTGCTAGGATACAGATTAAGTAGGTTATGAATAACACCAGTTTGATGTATTTTTATTGTTAATTCTAATTAATTTTTTACAAATTATTCATGTGGTAAAATCTCAACAGGTTAAAGGCCCTCAGCTACAAGAAGTCCCATCACAGCTCCCGTGTCTGTCCCATCACAGCTCCCGTGTCTGTCCCATCACAGCTCCCGTGTCTGTCCCATCACAGCTCACGTGTCTGTCCCATCACAGCTCCCGTGTCTGTCCCATCACAGCTCCCGTCTCTGTCCCATCACAGCTCCCGTCTTTGTCCCATCACAGCTCCTGTCTCTGTCCCATCACAGCTCACGTGTCTGTCCCATCACAGCTCACGTGTCTGTCCCATCACAGCTCCTGTCTCTGTCCCATCACAGCTCCTGTCTCTGTCCCATCACAGCTCCCGTCTTTGTCCCATCACAGCTCCCGTCTTTGTCCCATCACAGCTCCTGTCTCTGTCCCATCACAGCTCCCGTCTTTGTCCCATCACAGCTCCCGTCTCTGTCCCATCACAGCTCCCGTCTCTGTCCCATCACAGCTCCCGTCTTTGTCCCATCACAGCTCCCGTCTTTGTCCCATCACAGCTCCCGTCTTTGTCCCATCACAGCTCCCGTCTCTGTCCCATCACAGCTCCCGTCTTTGTCCCATCACAGCTCCTGTCTCTGTCCCATCACAGCTCCTGTCTCTGTCCCATCACAGCTCCTGTCTCTGTCCCACTACAAGGCTCAGCTCAGAGACAGTCTGGACTACAGAAATTTATATTTCTGTATTAATTTATATTTCTATTTAAATATATATTTATAGTGTATTTAATATTTTTAGTTCATGTTAATAATTAATATAATAAATTCAGTAGGACAGTATATATATATATATATATATATATATATATATATATATATATATATATATATATATATATATATATATGTATATTATTTACAACACGTAGGTATTAACAATTATCAACTATTTACTCAAGAACTTACTAAATACACTTGGGGCTTAATTTGGAATTGGTACACACTGAAATCCCATTAGCGTGTTGCATCAAATGAACAAATCCACAAGGACCGTGACGAGGGTTCGAATGTATGTCTGAGAGGATCCCAGACGCTGCCTTAATCGACTGAGCTACGACATGGGTTAGCTCAGTCGATTAAGGCAGCGTCTGGGATGCTCTCGGACGTAAGTTCGAATCCTCGACACGGCTCCTTGTGGATTTGTTCATTTAAATTGGTGTTATACAAGAGGTCATCCTGTTTTAGAGACACGTGGTAGTGTAACAACCGTGGTAGAGTAACTACCACGTGCTCAGTAACTGACGTACGTAGACGTACCTTTGGTAACCTAACTACTGATTGATTGATGAAGATTAAGCCACCCAAAAGGTGGCACGGGCATGAATAGCCCGTAAGTGGTGTCCCTTTTGAGCCATTACCAGTATCAAGAGCTGATACTGGAGATCTGTGGAGGTGCGACCGCACCCTGCGTGACGGGAGATGTCTCCCGTGCCTAACTGCTACAGGTACGTCTTGCCCGGGTCAAGACCCTCCACTTAGCACTGTCAAGTGACCACTGGTCAAGTGACGGCTTCCTGTCACTGCTGGCAAGTGTCCACGATGGTCAACACGACGCTTAATCTCATGCTCACAAACCACATTTTAATGTGTAATAAATAAATTAGAAATATATAAATAGGACATAAATATAACATACACACATATAGTATATATAATAATGATATATCATAACTCAAGTATATATATATATATATATATATCTCACGTGTATAATCCCGCTTAATAATTCCCCTCAAAAAAAGGTCAATTATGTACATTGGTAATTATGTCATGGAAACTGAATTGTCTTTTTTCTCTCGGTTATTTATTTGAATTTATGTTAAGCCCGCTATCTCTACCGGCCTTGACGGGACAGATCTTCTCCAAGACCTTTCAAAGACACACAAAAAATATATTAAACGCTGTCGTCGACTTGGCGAACTTGTCTTAAAGATCTCCCCATAGTTCCTGAGAATTGTTTTCAGGATGAATTTTAAAATTAAATATTGTCTTGTCATTTACGTCTTCAGTGGGCTTGTTATCCTGTGGGAAAAGATATCTATTGTCTGACCTTCATTGTTGTTTGTTGACCCTGGTGCTCGTGTCCCATGTGTCCCGTACTTTGGGGGACCTTTTGAAGTGGTCTGGATTAATATCTTCCAATATATTCCATGTTTTATGTTTGACTTAAGGTGAGCAGCACTTTCAGAATGGTTCAGTGATGAAGCGACGGACTTCAGCACCAGGAGGGAAGGCTCAGGTCGCCGGGGTGACTCATATTTATGTCTCCTGACGCAGACATCTTTGCTGCAGGTTTTGTCGTGATGACGCTGGTAGGAGAGAGGGTAGGGATGCTCTGAGGCCACGGTAGGTCATCACCTTCCCTGTCACGGATGGTCACAACTTCTTGGTGACTTCTGAAAAACAAAAGCTTGTATTAGTGTCATTGTGTGATGGAAGTAATGGATATTACTCTCTCTCTCCTAGGCTAATCAAGCTCCTCCTAGCTAAGGACACGACCATATATGAAGTCACCAATCCAGTGCTGGCTGAAACCTGACTGAGTGACGTACACTTCACCCACTACACCAAACTCTCCCAAGTCGAGCCTGGCCTCGGGCCGGGCTTGGAGAGTAGAAGAACTCCCAGAACCCCATCAACCAGGTATCAACCAGGTAACCAGGCCACGCCATTTTCAAGCAAATTGTATTCTGTGAATTATTTGTCGTTGTATTTTCTTCAATAAGGATGCCGGGAGGACCGACAGGAACACCGTGATCTAAAGTTACGTTGATAAGGAACACAGCGGGAGAGAACTTGCCTTAGTGGAGGAGCATCTTGCTCTCCTGCTCGAGTATTCTCTAGTCCTGCTGCTTCGCCTCCTCCTTCTCCTTCATCTGCCCTGCGTCCGTGCCGGGTCTCGGGTTGTTCCAGGGCTGCACGTCGGCGGAGATGAAGATGAGGTAGATGGTGTTGCTGACCAGGTACGTCGCTGAGGAGATGAGGAACACCGTCCTCCATGCGCTCAGCGATTGCTGAGGGAGAGAACAGTCAGAGTGAGAGAGAGAGAGAGGGGGAGAAGGGAGAGCAAAGGAGAGACGGTGAGAACGGGTGACAGGCATCAAGAGGTAGAGATAGAGAGGAAAATGTAAATTATCAAGTGATGAGGATCAGTAGGAGAAATGGATTCATATGGGACACAAGATGAAAATATTTCACATCCTCGGTGAAAGGTTCCAGATGTTTATACTACAAAAGAAGCATTTCCTGGACGCTAGCGGGAGGACAACACCTGAGTGGAGCATCTCCTGGACGCTAGCGAGAGGCCAACACCTGTGTGGAGCATCTCCTGGACGCTAGCGGGAGGACAACACCTTAGTGGACCATCTCCTGGACGCTAGCGGGAGGACAACACCTGAGTGGACCATCTCCTGGACGCTAGCGGGAGGCCAACACCTGAGTGAAGCATCTCCTGGACGCTAGCGGGAGGCCAACACCTGTGTGGAGCATCTCCTGGACGCTAGCGGGAGGCCAACACCTGAGTGGAGCATCTCCTGGACGCTAGCGGGAGGCCAACACCTGAGTGGAGCATCTCCTGGACGCTAGCGGGAGGCCAACACCTGAGTGAAGCATCTCCTGGACGCTAGCGGGAGGCCAACACCTGAGTGAAGCATCTCCTGGACGCTAGCGGAAGGCCAACACCTGAGTGAAGCATCTCCTGGACGCTAGCGGGAGGACAACACCTGAGTGGAGCATCTCCTGGACGCTAGCGGGAGGACAACACCTGAGTGAAGCATCTCCTGGACGCTAGCGGGAGGACAACACCTGAGTGGAGCATCTCCTGGACGCTAGCGGGAGGACAACACCTGAGTGAAGCATCTCCTGGACGCTAGCGGGATCTCCAAATACAGAGAGAGGCGGGACTCACGTTGTTTTCAGTGATGGCGCCAGTGACTGCTGGAGCGACGAAGCCAGATATGTTGGCGATGGCGTTGGTGAGGCCCATGAGGGAGCCGGCCAGGTTGGGGGAGAGGTCCTGGTGGGAGCACATGTAGCCGCTGTACGAGGCCCCGTTGAAGCCAACAGCCACACACAGCATCCCCATGGCCAGCTTCGCGTCGCAGTTCACAAAGCACATGGCAATGAGGCCCAACATCGGTCCGTAAACACCTGAAGAACATCAAAAGAGACAAAATGTGTGACGAGAGCTGTGATAGATCATTTGCTGACACTAAGTTACAATAACATCTGTAAAGAAAGGAAAATGGCGACGTTTCGGTCCGTCCTGGACCTGATAGTGGTCCGCCTTTTCCCTGACAATGGTCCGGGGTGGACCGAAACGTCGCCCACTTCATCTCGTTTCAGATGAGATGAAACAATTGTTTCCCTTAACCACCGATCACTGAAGATGAGTGTACAAATAAAATTGACTAAATAACCCATGTTCAGAGGTCGTCCTCTGAGGGCGGTCTACTTCACACAAGTTAATGGTTCGTGAACAAATCCACAAGGGCCGTGGCGAGGATTCGAACCTGCGTCCGGGAGCATCCCAGACATCGTCTGGGATGTCTGGGATGCTCCCGGACGCAGATTCGAATCCTCGTCACGGCCCTTGTGGATTTGTTCATTTGATGCATCACGTTAGTGTGATCTCTGTGTGTGTTAATGGTTCGTCTTGGTAATAGGAATATATATGTTTTGGGCCGTCATGCCTGACACCACTACAGCCGTCATAAGGTAATCTTCCTTGCCAGGTCTGTGACTTGCTTGTAAAGCAGTTTAGCTTAGTTTATTATATTTGTTATGCACCCCATACCCATCTTGTGGGCGGTATTGTACCCCATGTCTATCCGGTGGGTGATGGAGGTGGACCTCATACCCATCCTGTGGGCAGTATTAGACCCCATACTCATCCTGTGGGCAGTATTGGACCCCATACTCATCCTGTGGGCAGTATTGGACCCCATACTCATCCTGTGGGCAGTATTGGACCCCATACTCATCCTGTGGGCAGTATTGGACCCCATACTCATCCTGTGGGCAGTATTGGACCCCATACTCATCCTGTGGGCAGTATTGGACCCCATACTCATCCTGTGGGCAGTATTGGACCCCATACCCATCCTGTGGGCAGTATTGGACCCCATACTCATTCTGTGGGCAGTATTGGACCCCATACTCATTCTGTGGGCAGTATTGGACCCCATACTCATCCTGTGGGCAGTATTGGACCCCATACTCATCCTGTGGGCAGTATTGGACCCCATACTCATCCTGTGGGCAGTATTGGACCCCATACTCATCCTGTGGGCAGTATTGGACCCCCTAACCATCCTGTGGATGGTAGTGCACCCAATACCTATCCTGTGGGCGGTAGTGGAAAACGTCACAGAGGCACATAATGGGCACAGGGATTGAGCCCCAAAATTCATTTAGTTAAGCAAGTTAGTGTTGATAAGTTAGTTACACAGGTCAATATATATATATATTGTTACATCAACAATGGATTTGAGAACGACCACAAGTACAGTCTCCATGCTAAGCAACTTACATATGTAGCGAGGTAGTTTCATAATTTGATTCGTTTATCATACACACCGCCCCCCCCCCCCCCCCCCCCACCACATCTAGTGTGCCGCGATGAAGTGGTTACAGTCACCCATAGTAACTACCTACAGTTCGCAGTGAAACAACCTGGGGCCAGATTCACGAAGGAGTTACACAAGTACTTACGAACGTGTACATCTGTCTTCAAACTTTGGCGGCTTTGGTTACATTTATTAAACAGTTTACAAGCATGAAAACTTGCCAATCAACTGTTGTTATTGTTATAAACAGCCTCCTGGTGCTTCGGAGCTCATTAACTGTTTAATAATTAATTGTAAACAAAGCCGCCAAAGATTCAGAAAGGATGGACAGGTTCGTAAGTGTTTGCGTAACTACTTCGTGAATCTGGCCCCTGTTCTTTTACAAAGAACGTCGCACTTCGATCGTATGCGTTACATAAGGCCAAAAATTGTCGTACTAGAAAACTGGAAGCGGTTGGCGAAAGTGACGTAATGTCCCGTTTTCTGTTTTGGATCCTCTGGTAGGTTAGGATAGGGGCACTTTAAATTGACCGTTTTCTTGACGTTGGGAAACCTGAGGAGGACGAGCTGCGTAAACGGGAGATATTTGGCTAAAAAAATTCCGTGGTTGATCATTTTGAATGTAAAACAAGCATAAGATTCCGACGTTTCTGGGTAGCCTAAAGTACTATACTTCTCTTTCCTTCGAAATCTCCACTATTTATGTATTATATATAAATACTCTTGTATAAATATTATTATTATACTTGTGATTTTATGTCTTAATAACCACATTATAACACGTACTAATAACTTCTCCCCCGTGTCAACCTACCCTGGCTTTGCGCCCTGGAGAGGCCACTCCAGACCGACAACCAGAGCGCAACTACATAGTCTCCTGAGACTGATGGATGCCTATGCAGGCGATGAGTCACAATAACGTGGCTGAAGTATGTTGACCAGACCACACACTAGAACTTGAAGGGACGACGACGTTTCGGTCCGTCCTGGATCATTCTCAAGTCGATTGAGATCGATTCAAGTCAAGTCGATTGAGTCGATTCTCAAGTCGACTTGAGAATGGTCCAGGACGGACCGAAACGTCGTCGTCCCTTCACCTTCTAGTGTGTGGTCTGGTCAACATGGATGCCTACTAATTACCTATTGCCATGGAGAGTCTCCTGACGGTGATGAAGGAAATCTTGCCCTTAGCGATAACCCGGTCGATGATGGCGCAGTATATGAGGCTGAAGATCCACATGACCAGGTACGGCAGTGCTGACACCAGCCCATTCTGTTGGCAGAGGGAGTGTCATTAGCAGCAGGTGTGGTGGCCAACCCCTCACAGTGTTCAAGAAAGAACTCGATAAAAACCTCTAAAGGATACCTGATCAACCAGGCTGTGATTCATTACGTCAGGCTGCGAGCAGCTGCGTCCAAAAGCCAGACTGGACAGTCCATTAACCAGGAGGCGTAGTCACAGACCGGGGCGCGGGGACCTTGAACCCCCTTGAATCATCTTAAGGTATGTCCCCAATAACTGGGTCCGCTGGAGTGATCTTTGCAGGAAAGATGCCCAGTCATTATACTCTGCGAGTGTCCACCAAGTACACCTGCTACACCTGCAGGTGCCATATATATAGAGTGCAACACTTACACTCTTCATGTCGAAGTGCTGGATGTTATTGAGGTAGGTGGGGAGCTCCGTGAGGAGCGTGTAGAACCCCCAGTTGTAGCCGAAGTGGACCACGATGACGGCCCACACTGGGACGGATGTCAACACGGCCTTCCAGGGCAGCGGCAAGGGCTGTGGTGAAGGGAGGAGAGGCAAGGGTCAACATCATACTCATACCAAACAATATATTAGTGTTGTGTTGTCCCTGTAGAACAAAATAACTCAGAAGTTAGTGACAGCACCGCTCCTGTGCCAGGTAAGTCCACTACGGACTCACCATAGCCCGTGCTAATTGCCCCGTTCCTGTGCCAGGTAGGTTACGGGCTCACCATAGCCCGTGCTACTTGGAACTTGTTTCGAGTAGCTGAATCTATAACAACAACAACCCTGTAGAACCACTGAAACTGATTAGCTCAGCGAAGACATCACAAACGCAAAGTGTGCTTGCAAAATTTAAGATTATTTTTTGTAGAGATGACCGAATTTAAATATAGTGTTATAATATTATTAACCTATTATTTATTTTACTATGCAGATCAATATGTTGGCATATGTAATAAATTGTATAGAATCCATTTCGTGTAATGTAAGTCAATCCTTCGGTTTATACACGTTTTCTAATAATACTTTCTACCAAATTTGTCAAAGAACATGTTACTCTTTAAAGGGATAACTACACAATTTGAAATACCGAACTGTACCTTATCTCTCTTCTTGCCGCAGTAGCGAATAATGTATTTTTTTTCTTCCTCGGAGATTCTGGGATGAGTCCCCGGGTTATCAAACGCCAGCAAGAACCACGCGACGCTCCACACAAGGCCCAGAGCGCCAAAAACGTAGAACACAGACGGCCATCCTCCCAGGAAATCGGAGTCGCACATCCAGCCGCTGGCGGACAGCGTCACCACCGTCCCGAACTGTACACCTGTACAATGTATCATTTAATCTACGGGCTCACCATAGCCCGTGCTACTTGGGACATTTTGTTCCAGGTAGCGAATCTTTAACAACAACAACATATCATTTAAGACGAATTTATATCCTCCATATAACATTAATATCATAATACACTGTGGTCATGGTGCAGGAATAATACAGCTTGAGGTTACACACAGAAATCCCAATAGCGTGATGCATCAAATGAACAAATCACATCTTGAGGTGTTGTATTTTAATGACGATACATGTGTGAAGACGTGAGGGATCAGTAATTACATGAGAAGTGATGGGTGGCAACAGTGGAGAGATGATGTATTAACTTTATGTGAAGGGAGGAGATAAAGATGTAACGTATTGATAGTTTCAATTGTTTTATGCATTTATATTCAGACTTTGAGGAGCGGGTATTGGTATAGGGTCGAGGTGGTCATGAAGGTGAGTGAATCGAGAACGCGGCGAGGGTGAGAGTGATGATGGGGCACTGAGAGTGACGATGGGGCACTGAGAGTGACGATAGGGCACTGAGAGTGATGATGGGGCACTAAGAGTGATGATGGGGTACTGAGAGTGATGATGGGGCACTGAGAGTGACGATGGGACAGGGTGGTGATCACTGGCTGGGTGACGTACCGGCATATATCAGGGTGGAGAACTTGGCTCGCTCCTTCGGGGGCACCCAGTTAGCTAACATGGAATTCATAGCCGGGAAAGTCACGCCCTTGGTAAGAAACGTATGCTTATTACTTTGTGGCACTGACAAAGATATTTCTTCATGAAATATGAGCAATGACATTAAATCGAAGGTTAATATATTAGTAAAACTCGAATCAGTGAAACATTAACATATTCACCAGCTGGAAGTTGAGGAATTCACTCCTACCACGATTAATACATAGTACCATGGTTAATATATCCTACCTCAGTTATTCCTTCCAAGATCCTGATGGCGACAAAGAGCTGAGCTGAGGTCCTGGCACAGAGGGGGGAGAGAAGGGTGAGGACGGAGGTGAGAAGGATCCCTGTACCGTACACCACCTTCCCGCCCAAGTACTCTGCTATCCGCCCACCCACAAGGTTGGTCACAGTGTACCCATAGAAGAACGAGCCAAGGATCAGCCCTTGAGTTTGTGAGTCCCAGTCGAACTCGCCGTCCTGCGAGTGGAGACGTCTTACTGATATGTTCTTATTTTCAAGCAACTAAGAAAGTGATTCTTATATATTTCCCTGTACTTAAAAGGGGTAACTAGTGTAGAGAAGGTTTATACTGCATAGATATTTGCTCTGTGCCCACTGGGCGGGGGTAGCTGTAGGCCTATATGCCTTTCACTTATATAATTATTATATATTTATGGATTTTACCCAACATATCTGAAACATTTAATCATTCCATTACATATTTATTGATTTAATTATTTCGGTATTGAAATAAATTACTGATATCATACAAAGTGTGGAGACTGACGTTATTAGCGCCCTCAGTATCGAAGTCGTCCGGCAGGGGACAAGCGTAGTGTGAGGACGGGTCGGTGTAGTTGGTGGTGTTGGCGGAGTTGCTTCCCTGCACCATGGCAACAATGGCGACGGACAGGTTGACCCGCATGGCATATACCGACGAGAAGCCCAAGAACCCCAGCAGGGCCAGGGTGTAGCGCGCACCCCACATGTGCCCCGGTTCTGAACCACCAGGAGAACATCAGTACACTTGGCCACACGCAGCATGGGGGTGTGGCTGTTCCTGTGTGTTGTGGGCTATGGGGCCCTGTGGGTGTTACTGGACACTGTGAGTATTGCTGGGAATTGTTGGAAACTGGTGGTGTTGCTGGGCGCTGTGAGTATTGCTCGGAGCTGTGGGTGTTGTTGGGAGTGTGGGTAGTGTTGGAAACTCTAGGTGTTGCTGTGAGTATTGCTGGGATCTGTGACTGATTTAATATTCCCTTGTATATTATAGATTGCAGCATTTAATCAATCTGTTAACTTATGAATCATATTTTATATCAAGATAAGGTATAGCGTCAAGGGACGGGGTAAACAGGAAGTAGGACTTTACTTGGTACATGACAATCCTCGACGAGTTCCAACGTCGAGGATTCCATAGTCGTCCCTTCGACGACCTTCGACGACATCCTCCTCCTCAAGATTTTTCTAAATCCTCCTTGCTGTCGATGTTTGAATTTCTGGATTCGTCTATGGGAATGTGCAGGGATGTACCATTTGTCAGACGACCAAGGCGTTGGATGCTGAACACGGTGTTTGGAGGCCTACCGAGCTGCGTGAAGACCTACCGGGCTGCTTGGAGGCCTACCGGGCTGCGTGAAGACCTACTGGGCTGCTTGGAGGCCTACCGGGCTGCGTGAAGACCTACTGGGTTGCTTGGAGGCCTACCGGGCTGCGTGTAGACCTACTGGGCTGCTTGGAGGCTTACCGGACTGCGTGAAGACCTACCGGGCTGCTTGGAGGCCTACCGGACTGCGTGAAGACTTACTGGGCTGCTTGGAGGCCTACCGGACTGCGTGAAGACTTACTGGGCTGCTTGGAGGCATATTTGCTGACCGGCCTACCGCAAGTTCAAGGTCTGAGCGTCAGGAGAAAGCTTTATTATAATAAATATTAGCATTTAAGTTCGAGTCTAAACAAATTTGAAAAAATAATAAAAAATATATTTTATGTGCACGGAACATTTACACAAAATTTTAGAAGAAACGTAAGCAATTTAGATACAAGGTTCCTGCACAATAATTACAACATTATTAACAAATCTATCTTTATCATAATCCCACAGAATGATTACAGCATTTTCTTCCAGTGATTGAGTGAGAGTACGTAGACGCCAATCATATATAGGTTAAGTATTTATGGAGATGTTTGTGAAGACCCAGAGATGGAGCCAACGCTCATAACAACTGGAGCCTGATACTGACAGTCCGAACACTGCTAGCTTTTATCACAAGAATGTCAACAGATTGCTGGCGTTAGTGCTTTCAAGCACTTTACGATATCGTTCCAAAGTATGTCACATCGTGTCATACCGTGCCATACCGTATCACACCGTGCCATACTGTGTTATATCATGTCATACCGTACCATGCCGTGCTATTTCAAGTCATACTGTACCAGCTGCTGTAACTAAGACAGTGTTATGTATGACTGCATCAGTCCCTAGTGCCTCTTGTAGTAGGATAAGGATGATTGTTTTATCTCTCTCTCTCTCTCTCTTAGGTATTGTTCCAAGTACCTAAAGTGCCTGGAACAATTACAAGTATGTCAAAGGTAACAGTGCCCAGGTCTGACCCGTGGTAATAGAATCGAATATAATTAAGCATTGAGTTTAATGCATGTCTCATGTAATGCTTGTTACTGTGGCCACCTCGTTACTGCGGTCACCTCGTTACTGTGTTATCCTTACAAACCATCGTGTGTGTTCTTGATATAGTGGCCGGGTGGTGTAAGGCATTTGGAGTCTAGCATTCCTGCACCTGTCTTGTGACAATGACCTGCAGCGACACCACACTCGTTAATAGCACACAGTGTCGCCTCGCTTGGAAGTAATCCACACACGCAGGTTATGAAGTATCGCAGTCAGCCTGTCCTCCTTCATAGAACGTCACATTTCGATCGTATGCGTTACATAAGGCCAAAAATTGTCGTAGTAGAAAATGGAAGCGGCTGACGAAAGTGACGTTTTTTTTTTTTTTTTTTTTTTTTTTTTTGAGATATATACAAGAGTTGTTACATTCTTGTACCGCCACTAGTACGCGTAGCATTTCGGGCAAGTCCTTAATCCTATAATCCCTGGAATACGATCCCCTGCCGCGAAGAATCGTTTTTTCATCCAAGTACACATTTTACTGTTGCGTTAAACAGAGGCTACAGTTAAGGAATTGTGCCCAGTAAATCCTCCCCGGCCAGGATACGAACCCATGACATAGCGCTCGCTATGTTCCGTTCTTTTGTTTTGGGTCCTCTGGTAGATTAGGAGAGCTCTGAAGGTCCAGATGTGTACACAGATTCATTCACACCGCTCCTGTGCCAGGTAAGTCCACTACGGGCTCACCATAGCCCGTGCTAATTGGAACTTGTTCCGAGTAGCTGAATCTATAACAACAACAACAACAAGCACATGTAGACGGTGGCAGGCAAGGCTTGACGGTGGATAAGCTTTGACAGGGGTTCACAGGGTAACTTTGACCACATATATCTATACACAGTGACGGGACCCTCATACAAGAACATGCTCACATTCTTACATTTCTTAAGAGATATATAATAAAAGAATTTACACATTAATTAGAACCTAAATTGGCTTCGCGAAACTTTATGCTACTATTCAACTCTATTTCGTGAGAGGATTTAATTAATGTATGTGAAGTCGCAACACAATTACCGTGGATTTGCTGGAAGATTTTGCGCTGTTGGGTTGAGCAGAGTAAAGTCATTACCAACTGGTCAAGGGGAGAGTTCGAGGCAGGAACTGGTCCGGCGGAGGCGGCCCAGCGACTGAGGGTCCGAGTGTGTAGGTATATTAAGTATTTCAGGTCACACGTCCAGAAAAACAATGACCTTCAGATATGTTATTCTTATCTGCGAGGGTGGACGCAGATAACACACTACTTATGATACCATTTTTATGAATGATAATTCAAGTAAATTGGTCATTCTAAGGAGTATTATCAGAGGTTCTTCATAAAGAATGTTCTGTGTGGAGAATGACAGACATTCTCTGTCATTCTGGGTTTCTAAGACATATTGTGCAGGTGCCGAAGAATCGTTGTTACAACCAAGTACACATTTTACTGTGTCTCTTCTGTCGGAGGCACTCACCGACTGTGGGGCGTCCCAGTTGAAGCACATGATAGTGGGTGGTGAGGTTGGTGAGGTCATAAATCTTGACCTTGCAACCATCTCAAACATTGACCCACATGGCAGGTTGTTAAACAAGGCATTGGGGTGACGCACTAAACATTTGGGAGGTAAATTAGTAATTGGTTTAGGTCACTGCTGACGGGAAGGAAAAGAGAGGCTGTATGGGACAATGGCAACCTGTGTTATTACTAAGGATAAAATACCTGAAATCCTTGCACTGTATCCATATTTCGCTTCCAGTAGATAAACGACATATGAGATTAAGAAACAAGTAGTGTATTGTGAAGACTAATAATAAACAGCAGCTCCCCTATGACTGTAATACCTCCATTGCTCAAACAAGTATATATTAGTGATAAGATCTACCTTTAATGTATAATGACTTACTGTAAATATATAGCTCTTGAAATAGAACATTCTTTGTGCCTGGCTGACATAATGTAATTATAAGGTGTGAAGGATAGATGAAATTGTTTATGTAATAATCTCCGTTGAGGTCTGATAAAGACCTTTTGTGCCCTCTGTAATGCTTTTTGCGCTACCGCTCACAGGGTGAGAATGGGGTGCACAATAAACTAGCCTCCTCCGGTGGCAACAATCCAAGGTGGGAACCGGTAGGAGTGCCCCAGGCGCCGTCCTTGGCCCACAGTAGTTCAGAATATAAACAAACCACTTTTATGTTGGTGCGAACACCAACATAAACCTGTCTACAAACGGTACTAAACGGAGCACATTATAAACCAAAAGGGAAGACTAGAGAACAACAAGAGGACTGAGGTACTCACCTAGTTAGGCCTGCGGGGGTTGAGCTTTGGCTCTCTGGTCTCGCCTCTCAACTGTCAATTAACTGGTGTACAGATTCTGAACCCTACTGAGCTCTATCAAATCTACATTTGAAACTGTGTATGGAGTCTGCCGTGGTCCAAAGGTGTTGACCAGCACAACCTTTTAACCTTGACAAACTAAACTCAGACACAATATCAGCTCAACACTTAAGATATTGCATTCAACTCTAAAAATAAACTTGGAATAATTTTCGTCACCAACCAAGAGTGTAAAACTTACATAATATGGTAAAGCTCTCGTATTTCTATCTGGATGCATTAGTACTCGGAATATTAATATTTGACCAGAACTTGACATTGTTTGAGTCTAGTAAGACTTGCTGTTGATCATACTGTTTGCATGTAGGAGCCGGATCTTACGGATATCTATATATGTCATTGTTTACATAGAGACTGTAAGGAACAGTTAGGTTATTTCTCTGTGATAGGTCCTGAATGTTATGATATTGTAATTTGGGAAATTATAGGGCTAGTTATATAGATTTGGGATAAGACAGGATCGACCAATATTTGTATTTGTTATGAATGCAGAATAGTTACAAAAACACGTAATTCTGTTATGCGTAAGTATCCACTACCAAAATGCAACGAAAGTTACGAACGTTTTCGTATTTCAATACAATATCAAGAGAAATACAGGATTCGAAGGTCAGAATCGATTCGAATACAGAATACAGGATTCGAGGGTTATACAGAATGACCCGCTGGCACCTGTAGCTGTTTCCTGTGGCCCACTGACGCCTGCAGCTGTTTCTTGTGACCTGCTGAAGCTTGCACGTGTCTAGTCAAGTGGGGTTGGCCTCTCTTATCACTGATAAAGAAAGAAAACAGATGTGATTAGATCAAACATGTTTGTCTTCAAGTTTAGTCACACTAGATACACACACAATTGTTCCATCTGGCTGTTGTTGAACGTTGTTAATGTTCCGTCCGGCTGTTGTTGAGCGTTGTAAATGTTCCGTCCGGCTGTTGTTGAGCGTTGTAAATGTTCCGTCCGGCTGTTGTTGAACAAGCTGAAAACACAAATGTATCAAAGAAATGGCAAAATGCTGTGCGTATTATGTTGTTGTTGATTTAGGGGCGACGACGATCGAGGGATCGGATGCGCCGCGGCGTACCCGTCATGGGTTAATCGCGAAGCCTGGAAAGGTGAAACGCCAAGCTTAATCGCGAAGAGCGTGACGCCAATCACTAGAAACTAATACGCCATGTGGCGAAAAAACGCAGACGGGCAGATGATTGGGGAGCCCCAGGAGTCCCTCAGGGGTGACAAGCACCGGCCCCGCCCCACACAGAGAACATCAGGTAGCAAAACCAAAACTCGGCCCCCAACTAAAACGCAAAAAGTCATCCAGTGTCCCCCGGCAGAGCAGAGGCCAGCCGCCCACCACGGCTGAGGGCACACCAGGAGCCCACCAAGACCCGCCAACCCCCGGCACCTCTCGGCTAAGCCCCGCCAACCCCCGGCACCTCTCGGCCAAGCCCCGCCAACCCCCGGCACCTCTCGGCCAAGCCCCACCAACCCCCGGCACCTCTCGGCCAAGATCCGCCAACCCCCGGCACCTCTCGGCCAAGACCCGCCAACACCCCGGTACCTCTCGGCCAAGACCCGCCAACCCTCGGCACCTCTCGGCCAAGCCGGTCCCCCGACCACCGTCACCCCGCCGGGAGAACCAGCCAGAACACGTCAAAAATAAACCTACCAACAATCCCGTGACCCAAGGCGATATGTGCGCCAGGCGTCGTACAATCGGACCGCTGAAGAGGGATGCCAAACGGCAGTAGCAAAGCCATAACGCGAAAACAAGACGTAATCCTGGGGCTCCCAGGCGGAGGAGGAGGTGTCCAGACGTCCGCTCGGCCTCAAGGTTGAACCAGGAGCGCCCTGTGTGTATTAGTGGCTTTAGCCAGTCATCTTCCGCGTCGTTCCTGTCAATCCTCCTCCGTTCTTGTAGCTTATGTGTCTTGTGTGTACTTTATGCTTAAATCAATTATTATTATTATTGTTATTATTATTATTATTATTATTATTATTATTATTATTATTATTATTATTATTATTATTATTATTATTATTATTATTATTATTATTATTATTATTATTATTATTATTATTATTATTATTATTATTGTTATTATTATTATTATTATTATTATTATTATTATTATTATTATTATTATTATTATTATATTATTATTATTATTATTATTATTATTATTATTATTATTATTATTATTATTATTATTATTATTATTATTATTATTATGTATTATTATTATTAATTATTATTATTATTAATTATTATTATTATTATTATTATTATTATTATTATTATTATTATTAATGAACTCCTCGTATCCTGTATGGATAGTCAAGAAGTAGAATATATTGACATAAGTTCTGGAAGCCACCTCCTCCAGCCACAATTTTTAATTAAGATCAGATTAGACAAAGAATTTTAATATGAGAAAGAGTTATATTGTAAGAGGTTGAAGAAGGGTATAAAGGTGGGATATATGTGAGCTAGACCCAGAGGTCACTGTTAAATAAGTGACCTCAGCTGCCTTTTTAATATTATTATTTTCTACCACAGACGTGGCCACACATTTACAATGCTAACCAGCATATATACATTTTCTTCTGTCCTCCATGGACAGGGTTAGAGATCTGTTAAACATATAGTTCAGGGATTTATTGAACAATCAACCACAGAAGGTGATTCGGTACTTTTAAAATGCTAAGCTAACCTACATACGTAAATTACATAGATACACAGATTTACGTATGCTCTACATAAAGTGATTGCAGTGTCATTAATGTGCATTTACAAAGGTGAAATGCAATTCTGATCGAGACGGGAGGTGTTGTGACGGGGAAGAGGCCGGCCCGTGCTCCCTGCTCATGTGTCAGCATCTGTCAGCATCTGTCAGCCTCTCAGGCGCCGCCACACGGGTCCTAAGGACGTCAGCTCAGGCCACCAGGAAGGTCACATCTGTACAGGTGAGCAGCGAGGTGCTACTGGGGGAGGAGGAGGAAGCTTGGGTCAGCACCCGTGTGTTAGGGTGATGCTTCCTGTATGTGTGTGTGGTGGGGGGGGGCTTGGTTGTCTAGCTCATATAGTTGACTATGTCGGGGGGACAGGAAGCCTGAGTGTATTCATATACGTTAGGCTTTTATTCAGGTCCCCTTTACCCCCCCCACCCAGGTCGAATTACTGAACCCCCCCCCTCCCCCAGGGTGTAACCCCACAATAAGCTAACTCCTGGGTATCTACTTGCTGCCAGGTGAACAGAGATATTAGGTGAAAGGAAATATGACCAACCATATGTGTCCCGCCCAGGATTCGTACCCGGAATTATCAATTGTGCGTTGAGAACGAACCCGATTGTACTACCGGGACCTAATACTGGATATACATTATATTGTGCTTTCACGCAAGCATTTTAAATGCTGGCTAATCCGAATGCCACTACGATAACCCATGCTAACCTAACTCAGCCTAGCCTAAGCTAACACAGCCTAACCCAAGGATATACAATATTTTTATTTTATTTTATTTATATATACAAAAATCCTTAATATCTTGTACAGCCACTAGCACCCATAGTGTTTTGGGCAGGTCCTTAATCCTAATTTTCTCCAGAATACGACCCGGCAAATCGTTTAACAACCAGGTACCCATTCACTGCTGAGTGAACAAAGGGTATAGTTAAGGATTGGCGCCTAACCACTCCTTCCCGGCCAGGATACGAACCCAGGCCAAAGCGCTTGCGAACTGCCAGTTGAGTGTCTTGCCACTGTGCCACAGGGATTGATATACAGTCTCGCTCTAAAACACAATCTAAAAATTTGTCGTTTTCAACTAAATATGTTTAAAAGAAAGACTGCTACCAAAATTTACTAATATATATATATATATATATATATATATATATATATATATATATATATATGTCGTACCTAGTAGCCAGAATGCACTTCTCAGCCTACTATGCAAGGCCTTTTTTGCCTAATAAGCCAAGTTTTCATGAATTAATATATTTTCTCAAATTTTTTTCTTATGAAATGATAAAGCTACCCATTTCATTATGTATGAGGTCAATTTTTTTTTATTGAAGTTAAAATTAACGTAGATATATGACCGAACCTAACCAACCCTACCTAACCTAACCTAACCTAACCTATCTTTATAGGTTAGGTTAGGTGGCCGAAAAAGTTAGGTTAGGTTAGGTTAGGTAGGTTAGGTAGTCGAAAAACAATTAATTCATGAAAACTTGGCTTATTAGGCAAATCGGGCCTTGCATAGTAGGCTGAGAAGTGCGTTCTGGCTACTAGGTACGACATATATATATATATATATATATATATATATATATATATATATATATATGTCGTACCTAGTAGCCAGAACTCACTTCTCAGCCTACTATGCAAGGCCCGATTTGCCTAATAAGCCAAGTTTTCATGAATTAATGTTTTTTCGTCAACCTAACCTACCTAACCTAACCTAACCTAGCTTTTTTGGCTACCTAACCTAACCTTACCTATATATATAGGTTAGGTTAGGTTAGGTAGGGTTGGTTAGGTTCGGTCATATATCTACGTTAATTTTAACTCCAATAAAAAAAAATTGACGTCATACATAGTGAAAAGGGTAGCTTTATCATTTCATAAGAAAAAAATTATAGGAAATATATTAATTCAGGAAAACTTGGCTTATTAGGCAAATCGGGCCTTGAATAGTAGGCTGAGAAGTGAGTTCTGGCTACTAGGTACGACATATATATATATATATATATATATATATATATATATATATATATATATATATATATATATATATATATTATTAAATATGACCGAAAAAGTAAGATTAATAATTCTAACACGAATTTTCTCCATCTTTCGTACATTTCTTTTCACTGTTGGTGGTAATTCAAAAATCAATTCTCCAAAATTCATTTTTATTTCTAGTCTGACGCGACACTTGAGCGTGTTTCGTAAAACTTATTACATTTTCAAAGACTTTAGTTTAAACTTACACAACTGAATAGAACTTACACATCTCCGATTTGTTTATATCTACATTTGAGTGAGGTGGATGGGGTGAGGTGGCTCAAGCTTAACAAGCCACAGTGTAGGACAGATTCAGAAGATGTTTTGTTACCTGTAGGGAAATAAACTCATGGGATCACCTACTGTACTTGCCAAAGCCATAAATTTCAAGACAATACTCCAGTTCAAACTTACTGTAAAATGGAAAAATTCTTCAGGTACAATAGGCGGACCTTTGTCAACCCTGTCTTTCTGTCCCCGTCAAAGTCATAAGAGGTGATGGCTCGGCTTAATTCACATTAATGTAGCAGTATAAACAATTTGAGTCCGTGGATACACATGTTTTAAACTTACTTTTTTATTTTTTTTCAGATGGAGGACACAAAGAATCAGAGGGTACTCTTGGCACTGGACTTCGACCATACCATCATTGACAATAATAGTGACACATACATATATAAGTTAGCCCCGAACCACAAGATTCCAGATGACCTTAAATTGCTATATCGAAAAGACAACTGGACGCATTATATGGGAGAAGTGTTCAAGTTTCTGCATGAAAATGGTGTTACAAAAGAAAAGATTTTTAATTGTTTAAAGGAGATAAGACTAACAGATGGCATGAAGGAGTTGTTGACTGGTGTTCCAAGTGATTTAACCGAATTTATCATTATATCAGATGGCAATTCTGTGTTCATTGATCACATTCTCAAATGCTGTGGGGTGAGGGACCTGTTCAGTAAGGTGTTCACAAATCCTGCACAGTTTGATGAGAATGGTTGTCTGCACATTCAAATGTATCATCTGCAAGACTGGTGCACCTTGAGCACCAAGAATCTCTGCAAGGGTGAAATACTTGCAAATTACATCAAAGAACGTGAAAATGATAACGTCACATTTTCAACCATTGCATATGTGGGCGATGGTACAAATGACTTTTGTCCCAGCTTACGACTAAAAGAATGTGATGTAGTTTTTCCTCGTTGTGGATATAACCTCCTGAACTACATTCCAAAAATGGAAGCCGAAAAAGGTATGAAAATTGAAGCAGATGTTTGTCCTTGGGACTCTGGGAAAGATGTCCTTGAGCGCTTATTGCTGTGCTATGATGAGGCCAATGTTTTACAAGTGCCAAAGCCAAGACTTAAACCCCCTATACAAAAGCTTTGAATATTAATCGATACACGTTGTTCTCCAAGATAAATACAGGTATTGTTATACGTCATGTGTTTTCTCAGTTACATACTTATTTCATTTACTGTATAGATTTTTATAATGTGTTTTCAGTAGCATTATGGGTGAGACAATTTAAATACTGTAATATGGTCAAATGTATGATATTGAATAGAGATTTTGTTTCAGGTATTTTATGATAGGGACAGATAAGTGTTTAATCAGCATATTAGATTTTACCCCTCTACCCAACCCTGGGTCAACATATATATACTGTATATATATATATATATAATTTTTTTATTTGTCTTATGGAAGTAATTACATTATCCAAAGAAGGCACCAAGCCGGGAAGACTTTGTAGCATTTGCCTTCTGGAAACATAGGTAGGCTTGCAGCCTTTATTAAATTTTGTCTTGTACAGCTCCTCTGGTTACTCAAAGACCCCCAAACCCAAAAATGTTTGTCGAGTTTGGTCAACATAAGCTTGTCCCTCAATAGAATTCTTGATGACTCGGATACTTTTGATATTGTTCGCCTTGTGCATTTCTGTTCTCGTATTGGCATCCTTGGTGATATTTAGCGCCCTCTGATTATCCCGCACATTTGATGGTGTTATATTGCCTTCCCGGTTTAGTGCCTTCTTTTGATAATTACTTACTTGGTCAACATAAAACAAAAAGCTTGGTTTAGCTTGTGTTGTAGACCTAGTAATATGGTGTATTTATTTAGACTTCATAATGTATCAGTTTCATTTTTGTCAAGAAAAGTTTGCTTAAATCTTAATTTCATTAATAGCTTCTTTAAAGAATTTACATCTGTATACTCAGGGACCAGTAATATTGAAAGTAGAACATTCAAAGTCAGTCCTGTTGGTATAAAATTGCCAGGTATAGGAGCTGGGGTTTCGACAACAACCACAAAATGCCTAACCGAAAGTACATAATTACAAGACTCGGGGGAGGGTGGCACTTTGTGATAGTAGAACTAGGAGCTAATATTTTGTTTGGTTTTTCAAACTTGTTTTTGCTTGCATGATTTGCACTGTTTTGAGCAAGAAGCAACTGCAATTCCAGTGGTATATTTTGCTCATCTACATTCCTGTACTTTTCCTAATACAAAGCATTTCAATCATCTAATTATTAACGGCTTGTATCCTCTGCTAAATACTCAAAATGTCTGTATAATTACCGCTTATAAAAATACAGTAGATAGAATACAGCAGGAAATGTCATAATGCAACAGAAGTTAAGAGGTCATGCCTGTGTAGAGGGAAAAAGAGCAGGTGTGAGAAGGGAGGGAGGGAATTATCAGGGGAAAGCGCCAAGCCATTAGACTCTATAGCACTTGGAAAGGATCAGGATAAGGATTTGGGATGGGACGGAGGAGGGGGGGGGAAAGAGAAGGAATGGTAGACCGGTATTTGATATAATTGAAATTTCATGCAGCTTTGTTCGCTGTTGTTAGTCATAAATACTAATTGCTGGAAAGTCTTAAGCAAATTCACATATTATAGCAAATATATTAAAAAATATATGAATATGAATAAAAATATTTAAATACTGAAATTCACTGGCTACCAAGGTAAAATAGTCATGATTTAGTAGGACTGTAGAGTGAAACAGCAGTGTTGTCGGTACTTTGTGCGCGTTGTTCAGCTCGCACAAAGTACCATATTGAATCCTTAGTGGAATGGTACAGTCAATCACCGTGTAGATGTGACTTGCCATTATATTGGGGAAAATAGTAAGAGAAAATATGCCAGGCAGCTAAGATGTATGAAGATGGTGGATTCAATGAAAAGATGTTAACTACTAATTCAGATTTATGTATTGTATATATTGTACACTCTACTGTGTGTATATTTCATGTAATAGTGTAAGTAAAAATTAATTGGTCAACTGAAGCTCTGTATTTTGGTATGCAATGTTGAGTACTAATACAAGTGTTCATTCTGCTAGATTTTCTAAGAGCAAAGAAATTGTGGTTGATATATTATTTTGCAATAAAGACTTTTGGAAAAAGGTTGATGTGCAGGTCACTGTTTATAGCATAAAAAGTACTTAATATAGACATAAATTAATACAACAATTATTACAGTATTCTAACTTATATAACCAATGTAATATGTTTGCAGTAAACTTTATCTTTAATGGCAGGTTGATAAAAGAATGGCATCATTAACTGTTCATAACATTAAAATAAATCTGACATGGTTTAGTGAAGTATTGTATAGGAAAAACAAATTATCATATTTTGGGTTGTTGCTTCTGCTCAGTACAAGTACAGGTTGTGTCTTACAGCTTTCCCAAGTGATATTTTGTAATTTTTTGTAGTTTCCACTCTGGATGTACTATGTAAAACTTACAAAATATCTATTTAAATGTTTAAGGTTTAACATTATCAGTACATATACAGTACTGTATATGTTGTTGTATGGAACATATAAATGTTGCAATGTGTTGTATAAAACTTAATGTCTCGTGCTAAAGTGGTTTGTTAAGGACTTTTTTTTTTTTTTTTTTTTTTAAACACCGACAGAGCTGCATTGTCTCAGTTGCTCACCACCTTGTACAATCTCCAGATTTTCAGGAATATTCAAAACTTCTGCTTTCCTACTAATACTTTGAGTCATATGTCCCTTGCTACAGTCCTTGGTGAATTTGACCTTTTTGTCATTGCTCATCTTGTCTTTCTGTTCTTAGATAGGCATTCTGAATATCATCTTGAAACCTTTGAATATTATGTTACAGCAGCCAGTGCTACCTAGCTTTTGGAATTGCATTTTTTTTTATATATACAGTACTTGGCAGTCCTTACTACTTAAAAGAATAATGTGTGAAATAATTTCTCAATATTTGTAATTCGGCATAACTTGATTATTAACGTGAGAGTACAATACTGCATTGTATTATTATATGATGATACAGTATATGTGCTAAACTCATTTGCTGAATAATGGTTCCATAAATACTACTAGTATTAATTCTTCTTGCAATGTACCTGGATTAGCAACATGAAACAAATGCATGGATATCGTGCATGTCGGTAAGCTCAACAATATTCTATAATGAACTTGTTTTATTTTATCATCTTGGTATGTACTTTTGATTTGTGAATCAATTGTAAATAACATTATTTTTCCATTATTGTGTGCAGTAATTGTGTACACTCTTTAATATTTATTGTGTAATACAGTACAACTTTCAAGTAATGCAGCTCATTTTTTCAAAGCCTATGTACTTGTATGTTTATGCAGAACTTGTAAATACCGGCTGTACAACATTGTTAGAATAAAAGATGGTTACAATAAGGAGTCCTTTATATGGCAGCAAATTGTGCATTGATAAGCATTTAATCATGATGGTTTAAGTAACAGAAGTGAAACTAAAAGCTGCCAAGGAAAGACTGACAAACATTAACAAATGTGACGTTACAAATGTCATAGACCAAATGTACAAGTTATTAGGGAGTGACCACAGTAGAAGTTTCTCCAGGAGTCTCCGTCACCACACAAACCTTTCACACTCAAGCATTGACACTAACCTCTTACTACATAGTAGTCCCAGTTTCTTTTGATAATTACTTTTATTACTTTCATGTACTCTAATTGTTAACTCTCCTTCCAATATACTGCTTCTTCTATTGATCATCTTATTTCACCCATATTGTTTAATAATTCTCTGGCGCACTATTACTTGTTTAGATCACTCAAGTGTATTGCACTTTACCCATGTAGTAAATAGGTACCTGGGACTTTGGTAACTCATGGGATTGCATTCTTACGAGGTCAGCAGTTCGACCTTGGGGTGGGAGTAGTGGGGGGAAAGGGCTTTATACAAACCTGAATTATATATGCAAGACTTCCTGTCCCCAACAACAGAAATTATCTACAAAATTATTCCTGAAAATTAAAACGAGCACCAAATTAATAATAATGAATGTATAAATAAATATAAATTATTAATGTACAAGAATGTAACAACTCTTGTATATATCTAAAAAAAAAAAAAAAAAAAAAAAAAAAAAAAAAAAAAAAAAATAATGCCGGGGTTAATTAAAAATTACACCTCGAGTCAATATTTAGTACTTGCCTATACATACTGCACACTATTATAATTGTATTATATAACATATTCCAATACAGTACTGCATACAGCAAAGTTCAAAATCTAAATTCTGTATAATTTTCAAAATTCATAAGTGTGTGTTGCTCATATATAAAATCTCTAAATGGCTAAATGTTTAAAAAGCTTGTATTAGAATTCATAACCAGAGTAGTCTAGTATTTAATGCAATTACATACAATTGCACAGAATAATCTTCAGTTCCAATTTGACGATAAGCCCAAATCCTACCGACAATAAGAACATACTAAATTCCTTATTTATGGCCATATTTAGAATCCAGTGTGACTGCCAGTTATTTTAACTTTAATTTTCTATTTATAATTATTAACATAACAAATGAAAGGCAAGTTCTTTATTTTTTTAACAGAAGCTTCAGGCTTATTAGTCTAAAGTAAAAAAAACAGAAGTGCGAAGGACAGCAATAGCCACTAGTTGGTGCTGCCATTCTGGACTGTGAATGTGGTCCTCAGTGTTGTTGAAGGTTGCATCGTAAACATTAACTTAAAGGACACAGTCGAGATGCTTAAGAAAATTAAGATCACACTTTAACAGTGTTAATTTTTTTTTAATCTTCCTTATGCACATACACATTCTTTTGATTACCAGCACGACTTTTCATGAGCCGTGAGAGAAGTGATGGGGCAAGCGTGCGCAGAACTATAGCTAGTTGGTGTGACAACGGAGCCAACACCAGTTCTTCGTGTCCATTTGTTATACACCCAACGATGTGCTCGGCAACTTTTTCTGGACTTGTGCCAGAAGCTGTAGTTGCATCCATAGCTAGAAAGGCATAAACCACATTACTTATAATTCTCAATATTATAATTCTCAATACTTTCACGTTTCATTTTCTCAAATTATGCCTCGGTACAGTACCTCAAAATTGTGGAAAATAAGGTAATGTTGACAATGGTATATGAATAATCTAATATTCAATGTTCTAAATGCAGCTTCACTTACCACCATACGTTGAGCCATCACCAGTAACAGCATTTAGAGAGAGATTCGTGGAGATGTATCCTGGGCTAACTACAGATACAAGCACTCTACTACCAGAGACCTCGGCACGAAGCGAGTCAAAAAAGCCCTGTAGGGCATGTTTTGAGGCAGTGTAGCATGATCTGAAAATTGCACACATACAATATTTATCAGAAAAAGTTTAAGGCTATATGACTCAACTATTTACTGTAATTCAAACAATACATAATTACAGTACAGTATATGTGAATGAGATTGTCCCTGTAAATATTTTGAATTTATAATGGTCTTGGATTTTTTATAAATTATTAAGTTACATTTTCTCCATATAGTATATGTTGGTAGTCATTGGCATATTCAAAGGCATTGTTAAAAATTCTTTCGAATATGCAGTGTTTTGGGCAATTCTTAATAAAATGATTGTTACACGCAATATATCCAGATCTGTTATGGATTAACACGAATTTTTATGTTCTAAATACTAGTAAATGAACCACATTTTAAATTGTATTGTTGGTGATAATGCCTTTAAGATTAATGCAGATTATTTCCAAAAAAAAAGGTATAACATGACAAGCTTGCCAAACCTCGATGCATACAGGCAATTGAAGATTTATTTGTTATTCCAAGTGGAAAAACAACGGAGCAGATTACCTACCAAAAAAGCCAGGACCAGACTATGTTCATTTAAAATACATCGGGAAAACTATCAGATGGAATGGGCACAAACTCATTAAAAACACAAAAGTAAAACATGGGACAATATATTTCCTGTTACTTCTCACCTGTATGGTATGGCCAGCCTGCCCTGAACACTACCGATAGCCACAATGTGACCCGACTGTCTTCTCACCATGCTGGGAAGGACAGCTGCAATGGTAAGACAACAAATTAAGAGCATTAATCATGGAGAGAATGTGGTATCCACTTCATTTAGAATAAAACATAAAACAGACATATAGCGGGGCACAGACCCCCGAGAGACAGACAAGTAATAAGCTCGTCAAATAAGTTTCTAGGGGTCAGGCTTCAGATTAGCTATAATTATGTATTAGCTAATCTGAAGCCCGACTGATGTTTCAACAATAAGCCTAACTGATTTTCTGTCCCAGAAAATGCAAAACCACACTAATGCAACATTGTATTTAAATTGATTATGAAAAATGCCTGGACGCTTGTGCTAAAAAAAAAAAATTAATCTTTGAATGTATATGAAAAACTTTTCTGAACAGAGCACTTTGTTTACTTATTCTGCCCGAAATGCTGCACGTACTAGTGGCTTTACAAGAATGTAATTACTATGCTATGTATCCTCACAATCCCAATGTACCTTCTTGTATATATATATAAATAAATAAATAATAAATAAATTATAGGAAGGTCGAGCTGCTATCCTGGACAGGACTGTGCACAGTCATGACATAGACAAGCACAACAGGGCCCTCCTCAAAGGTCCCTGGCTGGTCATACTGGTGCAAGAGAGAAACTGGAGAAAATTTAATCCAGCCCAGGATGACCTCTAGATGGCTCATTCATATTGACTCAACATCTCTCCCCAAACACTTACCAAACTCCCCAAACATCACAGGAACTCCAAAGTAGCAATCTCACTAACTCCTTGCTGGCCCACCCAACCACCACCAGGTGGCAGCACCTTCATGTAAGCAAGTGCCATCTCTACCCACCTCATACCACCTGACATGAGCCACACAAGGAGAGCAGGGCTAGCTTAGTGTCTGGCGGCACAATGGTAACACACCTTGTGAGTGATTTGGTCTAGGTTTCAGGCCTGGCCAGGGAGGATCGACTAGACCCCAATCCTTAACTGTTCACTTCTGTTCATTCAGGAAAACAAGTTTTCTGTAAGTGCTGGACCAACCGGGCTGTATATATGGATATGTGGCTGTGGGCCACTCCAAGCAACAGCCTATTGGACCAAGCTCTCAAGTCAAGCCTGGCCCTGTGCCGAGCTTTGGGATTAGAACAAATCCCAGAATCTCATCCAGGTAGTAAACTAGGTACTGTACTTGGGTTAAATGATTGGTAGGCCATGTTCCATGGAAAACTAGCAGGGCAAGGCTTACCATACACTATAGAAAGGGAAAGCTCTCGATGTGCTAACAAGATTCATAAATTGTCTACTGTACCTACCTGTGTAAAAGAGGGGAAGGGAGCAACCAAGTGAAATGCTCAGAAAGGAGCCCTTGTTGGTCGAGTCAGTAAATAGCCCAAGGGCCACTAGGAAACTATCACCCCAATAATTTAAAGGCTATCCCTCAAGGCCAGAGTCACTTGCAAGACTTGAACCCTGAATTGATATCGAGCATAATAGTGAAGTAATAATATACCCCATCTAAAAAATAGACTACTGAATAGCTCGGTCAATAGTGCTTCAGCCTCACACACGTGGGGTCTACTGTTCAAGTCTCCTAGAGCCCAAGTGAATGGAATACCGCCATCTAACTTACAGTACCTGTGTATGACGTTCAACCACTGCAAACGTCTTCAAGCCCAGCATCACCCAGTAAATATCAGTTATCAGAACTATAACAAATTCTATCTTCAGGCAAAACACAGCCCCTCTGTTTAACTCACTAAACATATACTCACTCCACACATTCTCTTGTGCTACTAACACTTACAAAACCACATTCCCAAATTCTAATCCCATCTTAAACCTTATCTCTTGATAGATGCAATAGAACCCATGAGCATCATACCAGAAATATCTCCTCAATATTCTCAGAGTGATACTAAAGGTATGCAAAGATGACATACAAATAAAAGGGCCCAATATATGGAACTCGCTCCCATAATGAAATAAAATAAATTGTCCAACCTATACTTTTAAATAACGTAGAACTATGAAGCACCTAATTTCATCTTCACAGTATCCTATATTGTGCTACCCACTCACCCAGTACAGTATATTACAATGTAGAAATGCAATTTTATCATTATAATTTTATGGTATACCTTTATATTGATGTTCATTATCATGTGAATTCAAATTCTGTTACAATGTACCTATAATTATGCTTATTTGTTAACTTAAGGACCTGCCCAAAAAGTTGCATGTTCTACTGGCTTTGTAAGGATGTACCACTCACCCACCAGTATATGTACTTTAACCCATAGTATCTTCTTGTACAATATATGAATAAATAAGGATGACACGTCATGAAAGAGTCGAGGTTATGAAGGTAGCCAACTTACTCGAACACCACCTCTGAAGGGGAAATAAATTCCGTGGGCTAGAGCCGAGATTTTGGTTCATTAATCTGAAAGCTATACAAGGCTACCACTGCCAACATAGGACCTCCAACAAGCAAGGAAAGTCAATGGATGGGGGTCTAATTCAGCCAGCCATCAAGGTAGGCCAAAATCCCCAAGAACTGAAAACTCCAGTATAACTAGATTGTACTGCACTGGTAATAATTTTTTTTTTTTTTTTTTTTTTTGAGATATATTCAAGAGTTGTTACATTCTTGTACAGCCACTAGTACGCATAGCGTTTCGGGCAGGTCCCTGGAATACGATCCCCTGCCGCGAAGAATCGTTTTTTCATCCAAGAACACATTTTACTGTTGCGTTAAACAGAGGCTACAGTTAAGGAATTGCGCCCAGTAAATCCTCCCCGGCCAGGATACGAACCCATGACATAGCGCTCGCGGAACGCCAGGCGAGTGTCTTACCACTACACCATGGAGACTGTTGAAATGTCAATAATGCGGTGATTGTGCGTGATCATGTCTATGAACCAACAGGACCTTGCCTCAAGAAGCAATTAAGTGGTATAGTTCAGAAAAGCTTGTACATGTGGCAATGGCACTAACCTTTAGTTAAAGCAACTTGTCCAAAGTAATTTACAACCATCAGCTTAATATCAACACTGATGTCAGTCTCCATGGCTGCGCCTCGATATGAAATGCCAGCATTGTTGATAAGAACATCTACATGTCCATGAGTCTTTAGGAGATTGTCCACAATCTCTGGAATACTATGCAAATCCTCCAGGTCCAACTTGACAACTGTGGGAACATGTAGCTCTGGAGGCTGGAACACACAAAAATTACTTTGTAATATATGATACTTTCCAGTTTAAATAATGTCTAACCAAATTTATTACAAACAAATTGCCTAATGCTTTATTTGGGTCTGTATACAGTACCAAATATTGATTCAAATATTACCTTGTAAGTTTTTAATAAGGTTTCTTTCAGCTCATTTAGTTTATCTGTATTACGTGATGCTAGAATCAATCGAGCGCCTCGTTTATAAAGGCTGTGTGCTATGGCTTCTCCGAGGCCAGAACTAGCACCAGTGATCAGAACGACCTGTGGAAAGTAATACAATGTACAAACTGCTATAACTTACTGTTCTATATATAAAATTTAAGTTTTACATACTGACAAGTTGCTATCTGTTCATCAGCTCAAATGTAAGTAACATTAACACTGAAAATATGATTACTTGTTAGATTTTAAATGGATAAACAAGCAGTCAGAATGTTATTTGATTATAACAGATTTTATGTAACAAATTAATATGAATGAAAATCAGTTTCATAAACTAATCACACAGTATATACCTGTTGGTGAGGTAAAATAAATTTAAAACATTAGCAATTGTCATTAAACTTTCTTAAACATTTCAACACACAGGAAGTATTGACTTTCCATTACCATTATGACTATTGCCCTTTCCCCATTTTTGTGACATATTTGCCTGGAGAATATACTAGAGTAATAAAGGAAAAGAGGTGGTTAAAGATATTCACAATGCTTTTTATCCATATCTTCCATGCTAAACACATATTTCTACTGGGTGGTGTTTGTCTACACTATGGAGAACCAACAATCAAAGGCATAAACATTAACAGCAGCTATTTCAAACTTACCTTCCCACACAAAGCCTTGTCATTAAAAAAGGCCCGAGATACTACTGCCTGAACAACTCTATACACAAGTCGCACCGCAACAACTGGGCCCATCACAGTTAGAGTTGCCCATCCTGTCACGTACAGAAACGATATTAACTGCAAGCCATGCATTCAGTATACATATATAAATACAGTACACACATTGTAATTTTTTTCAGTTGTCCTCTATGTACAGCATAAAATGCTTTGTAACAAATGGGATAATTATACTGTGAACAGAAATTTAAAAAGCACCATCTCTGACTGCCTCTGCCACAGATGAGGGTTCAGTCTTGAGCAAGGTTAAAGTGAGAGGGTCCATGTTGACGGTGTGTCTAGTTGGACGTTACGTCTTAAACTGAGTTGTGTGCAGTCATGATCCCCACTTTATACCTAGGAGGCTTGGGTTGCAAAATTATCTATATCTACTATTCATCTGCACTATGGTTGGAGACCTCCCAATTGTCCAAACAATTTACCTATTCGAATCTTTAGGTATTTCTTCATACATTCATAACACAGTAAATGCAATTATTTCATCATTAAAAATACAAACATAACAAATCTTTACATATTTATGAAGCATCTGGCACCTGATTAAGTCTTGCAACCTATTAGTTCTTAACCACGTACAGTAATTTGAATAATTTATGCAATGTAATGTAAACAAAATATTAAAGAAATTATGGTATACCGAAATTTAGTTACGAATTACTGGAAGCAATAATGAACAAATAAAAAAATATTTACATGATAAATATATGTAACAATTTAAAAGAAAAATTCACATAAACAGTTTAATTAGGGTAATACTAGTGCCATATTTCTTACTTCTAAATGAATGCACTTATTTATTTATTGTTGCAGAGCTTAATATTCAAATATAATACGATTGAAATAAATACAGTAATGTTCATAACTTTTTTTCCAATTTGAAATTTAACACAAATAAATAAAATAAATTGGATTGGATGGTGGGATCTAGGCCTATGACCAAGTGCTAAATATTAAAAGTGCCTTAAGACCAATGACAGACTGAGCCAAAGCAGAAAGAAAATAACGGATTTAAAGTTTATAATGTACAATACAGTACAGGATAATTTGCTCACTAATACATTTTTTCTATTCATATCAAAATTCTCATTTGTATTTGAAAACAACTGTACAGTGGCACCTACAAATCTGCATTACAACATTCCCGATCATATCATTTCACACTTTATCTGGATTCATGAACAATCCAGATTTACAAATATTTGGCGGTTTCTGGCTATGGTATTTAATTACAAAAAATATAGTTTTCCACTTTTGTAAATAATACAAGTTTCTACATAATTAGACATACAAATATTATAGAAAGAATAATTTTTTGTGCATATAAAGTACTAATTATGCTCTAAAAAGTAAGAAACTTTTACTTTTGTACTTGCGTCTTTCTTGCACAGGCTGGTCGTGGTTAGCTAATGGCAGCACACCATTATAAATTATGTACAGTGTAAAACTCAAGAGTAAAAACCAGCTCTGAATGTAATGAAATACCTCTTTCTGGTGGATCCTTGGCACTTTATGCCTGGCAAGCTCCACCCAATTCTATTCACACTAAGCCCTTGCAAGACATAAACAAGCTTTCTTGGGTTTTGTGTAAGGCTAAGTAAATCCTTGCCCCCCCCCCCCCTTTCCCCCTCTCAAAGAGGCACAAGCAGCAGGGGATCCCAATTCACTTTGACTACAAAAAAAGGCAAACATACTGCAAACTTTTACTGTATCGGATCCCACTAACAGATCCTCCACCTTATGACCAGCACCACTTCATATAAATTTGATGTTACCGATCTCTGATCGCCCTGCACCACCAGGTAGAGATCAGGCACAATATCTGGCAAAGTCTCCTCAAGATCTTGTGATGTTGCTCTAAGCATTTTAACCTTGTTGATAGCTGTTGGTAGCAGTTGGCATTCCTGCCCAGCTCAACTGCACATCTCAGCAATCCAAGTTTAAAGTAATATTGAACAGTCATTGCAATGAAACCCACAGGCAAGACACCAAGAGATCAGCCACTTGGGGACTGTTAAAAAAAAAAAAGTACACAAGAGTTAGACTCCAAACATGTAGATCAGTGGAGAACTTCAAACCATCTAGAAACATCTCCAGGCCAATCTATTCAAAGAGACGAAGCCAGAAAGTGCTAGAAACCAAGGCTGAGCTTTCCAAGAGAGAGATAACAGGAGAACCCTGTTGGAGAACACCTCCAGTCTGGACTGAACCTGGAGCAACAGCCAAACTGGAAGGAAAAGATAAAAGACGCCCCCAATGACCCCAGTCCAGCTGAAAGGCATCCAACAGGAGCCCCCCTGCTATCAAAAAATGGTGGCCATGTAAACCTGTAATTGACAGTCCCACATCAATGTGAAGAGGTCTGCCTTGGAGTAGCTAAACATTTTGCAAAGCCCATGGAAGGACATTACTGATGGTCCACTCTGTGGTGATGGGACAAAACCAAGAAAGACCATCCAACAGAATGCTGGAGATGCCCTGACCATGAACCACACAGGAAGCCAAATCACAAGAGGCCAGAATACAGATCACAAGAAGCTACCCATAATGTCCAGCCCCACAAGGGAAGAGATGGAAGTGACCCCCCTCCCCCTGTAGCCGAGACGATGAACTACCAGTGAGCAGTCCAATTGGAACTGGTTAGGCTGATTATAACTCACCCAAACCAAAAGACACTTTTTGAAGTCTACACAGCACAGTATTTTACCACACTACAGTATTCTAACATAACTCAAACACGTTTGGGTGATGCAAGGACAGCTACTTACCTATAAACCAAGGTACAGAACTCCATACGGCCATAGTACGCGTGCGTTTAATGGCTCGACTAAGGTACGCAATCCATTCTGCTTGATCATTTATGCAATCCATAATTGTTTAAGATGGATTTACTCTCAAATCTTAGTCAATACATCATTACAGTACAGTACTGTATCTGTAAAAAACAAACATGAATAATGAAAAATTTAATATACTGTACTGGAATAGTTTGCTGTTATTAGACAAATCATTTAAGGTACAAGACAAGCATTAATAAAATCTTCATTTGCATAACCAAACAAAATCTTATAGCCTAAGTGTGACAAATTATCCATCAGGTGAAGAGCAGTCATTAATGAGTAGGTTTGGTGTTTATTTAATCAATCACAGCCAATTTTCAATGATATATTCATAATTCCTACTGACAAAATGTCTAAATAACAAACAAGACCTTTAAATTTAGGGCTTAAATACTAAAACTAACATGTAGATTTTTCTTGTGAATTCCAAAGAATTACATTAAAATCTGAAGAGGAATTACATTTCCAGTTTTTTTTTTTGGGGGGGGGGGGTGCCACCATTCTCTCTGAATGTTGTCACTTAAATCGTACAAGTCTTATTGTACATTGTTGTGTAGTGCTCACAATGTTCACAACTGTAAGACATGGGGCTCCGTACCTGAGCAGGTGTTCTCTTAAACCTAGTTTTCCATAGTTGGGGACAGGAAGCCTGTTAGGCTCATCAAGGTCTCAGCCAACTACCCTTAGGATGCATCCCACAACAGTTATCTAATAGGTACTTATTTACTGCTAGGGTGAACATAAGCATCAGGTGAAAGGAAATCATTGCCCAAATGTTTCTATCCTGCCGCAGGAACCGAGCTCGAGTCCTTTTGACCGTGACGTGACTGCACTAATCAATGCACCACAGTACCCTGTCCAGATGCCTCTATTCACCTAACAGTAAATAGGTACCCAGGAGTTGGGCAACTGTTGTGGGTGGCATCCTGAGGAAGGTTGGTCCTTAGCTCTAGGGGACCTGGGGGACCTTAGCTTCAGGGACAATGCATCACAGAAATAATCTGTGGTGCATTAGATTATTTAGGGCATCAGTACTGTATCAAATATTAATATTAAGGAAGCATAGTGCATCAGCATGCTTTCTTCAAGATACAGTACAGTACTGATACTTGCTTCTGATGTCTAGATACTGGCATCCTACGATTCTGGTGTTCAACCGCAATGATTTTACCATACTGGAGCTTCCTAGGTGTTTACCCCATGTCATTCTACACTTTAAATGCAATACATCTGCCTGAAGGCAGGAACAAATAAAATAGGACTCCTTACATTTGATAAAAAAAAATTCTTAAGATTTTCAAGGGATGAATGCATGCAATCATGAGACTAAACATCCTAAATTTTATTCTGTCTCTTTGTTACTTTTCAAGTTACATGTTATAAGAGTATATTGGAAGAGCCTAGCATTTTTATCTTGTAATATACAACAATCCAGGTATTACAATATAGTTATTTTTTTGGCTCGGGTGGTTGGTCAACAAACACCCTTTGTATTTAAGAATTTTTTTATATAAAACAAAGTGAAATAAAGGAAAGGAACCAGGTTTACTCATTTAGAATGCCCCCACACTTTACTAATTCAGAAAGTATAAGTGCAAACTCACTTAGAAGATCCATACTTTTCACATTTTAATTATCTCGCTATTCATTTAGATGGTCTTAATGTGATGTAGGTCTAAGAGACCTACACCTAATTGTTTTAACTAATGTATGTCCAGCTAAACTTTATAAGTAACTAAAGGTATATGATTCAACGATGGAATTTTGCAGTTTATTCTACTCATAAATGCTCACTCCCAATTTAACAAAACTTTACCGATTTGAATTCATTATGACCACAATATTGATGTCAGCTAACACTAGTTATCATTTCCCATCTATTTATGCCTTTCATCCATTTGCATTCAATCACATTCAAAACATCAATCATGTTTTCTCTTCCCCGGGCTACGCTCTCTTGAAAGGCGTAGAGTAACTTCAGTGCTCTTAATCTCTGAGCATATACATAAGTCCTGATGTTGGGGATTAATTTTGTTATTTTTCATATTATGCTTTACAATTTGTGTCCATTTTGTATTATGATGATCAAACTTGCACAAAATTAGATTTTACTTTTAAAATCAAAGCATGTATAATCATTTACATGGTCCTTAATATACTTTAGTTAGATCTTGACTAATATGTGAAAAAGACTACTCATGAATCCTTGCAAATTTAAGGAGTCCTTAACACCATATAATGGCCAGAACCTAAAGTGATCAATCCACTATCAACAAGAAGTCAGGTTATGTGTGTGCTGAGCAAGAGGCTTAGCACACGAAGCTGCAGAGCCTTCATATCTTCTTCATGGGTCAACTACTGACAGGCTTCCTTCATCTCATCTCAAGATCACCTCTAGTCCACCCACATTGATTCTCTGCAGCAGAACTAGCAACACAACCATCCACTTGACCAGTACTCACGTCACACAATAGCTGCCTCACACATACATACACTCTTTTATGTAGAGAACGGTGCTAAATACCACCAAGAAATGGGGGGTTGTTAAGGAGTTGATATAACAGTCCTCACCAATAACCAGTGAAGTGGACACTGAGGGTTGAGGGCTGGGAGCGTCGCCTTGTCGACACACACGTAAACAATAGGACACGAGCGACGTCATAGTCGACACACCTCCTGGGGGGGTACGTATACACAGGAAAAAATGAAAGATAAGCAAATCCGAGTACTAATTTAACACATTTTCAGAATGTGTTGAATCACGAAAGCGTTTGGATTAATTTCATTTCCACCTCCCCAGGACGTGAACGTCCCAGTCCCACACCTACGAGTTCCAGACAGATGGTCAATTCACGTAGTTACTTTAATTCTTATGTTTTCATATTCAATTTATACCCATTAATTCGTGTTCTGTCACCTCACCCAAAAACATTTGTCATATCACCTCACCCAAAATGAATATAAGCATGAAATGATGTGCAAATCTGTCTTTGAAAATGTAAGAAGCCCTTGCGAAACGCTTTTAGGCATCAGACCATAAATAGCAAATGAAAAAATGAACTTTGGAGAGTTAATATTTCAATTACCTCCGATAGTGAAGAAAAAACGTAAGAAATATTGAAAAGATTCGTGAAGAATATATATACATATATATACATATATATATATATATGTCGTACCTAATAGCCAGAACGCACTTCTCAGCCTACTATGCAAGGCCCGATTTGCCTAGTAAGCCAAGTTTTCATGAATTAATTGTTTTTCGTCTACCTAACCTACCTAACCTAACCTAACCTAACTTTTTCGGCTACCTAACCTAACCTTACCTATAAAGATAGGTTAGGTTAGGTTAGGTAGGGTTGGTTAGGTTCGGTCATATATCTACGTTAATTTTAACTCCAATAAAAAAAATTGACCTCATACATAATGAAATGGGTAGCTTTATCATTTCATAACAAAAAAATTAAAGAAAATATATTAATTCAGGAAAACTTGGCTTATTAGGCAAATCAGGCCTTGCATAGTAGGCTGAGAAGTGTGTTCTGGCTATTAGGTACGACATATATATATATATATATATATATATATATATACATATATATATATATATATATGTCGTACCTAGTAGCCAGAACGCACTTCTCTGCCTACTATTCATGGCCCGATTTGCCTAATAAGCCAAGTTTTCATGAAATAATTGTTTTTCGACTACCTAACCTACCTAACCTAACCTAACCTAACTTTTTCGGCTACCAAACCTAACCTAACCTATAAAGATAGGTTAGGTTAGGTTAGGTAGGGTTGGTTAGGTTCGGTCATATATCTACGTTAATTTTAACTCCAATAAAAAAAAATTGACCTCATATATAATGAAATGGGTAGCTTTATCATTTCATAAGAAAAAATTAATGAAAATATATTAATTCAGGAAAACTTGGCTTATTAGGCAAATCGGGCCTTGCATAGTAGGATGAGAAGTGCGTTCTGGCTATTAGGTACGACATATATATATATATATATATATATATATATGTCGTACCTAGTAGCCAGAACTCACTTTTTGGCCTACTATTCAAGGCCCGATTTGCCTAATAAGCCAAGTTTTCCTGAATTAATATATTTTTTCTAATTTTTTTCTTATGAAATGATAAAGCTACCCATTTCACTATGTATGAGGTCAATTTTTTTTATTCAAGTTAAAATTAATGTAGATATATGACCGAACCTAACCAACCCTACCTAACCTAACCTAACCTAACCTATCTTTATAGGTTAGGTTTGGTTAGGTAGCCGAAAAAGTTAGGTTAGGTTAGGTTAGGTAGGTTAGGTAGTCGAAAAACAATTAATTCATGAAAACTTGGCTTATTAGGCAAATCGGGCCTTGCATAGTAGGCTGAGAAGTGCGTTCTGGCTACTAGGTACGACATATATATATATATATATATATATATATATATATATATATATATATATGTCGTACCTAATAGCCAGAACGCACTTCTCAGCCTACTATTCAAGGCCCGATTTGCCTAATAAGCCAAGTTTTCATGAATTAATGTTTTTTCGTCTACCTAACCTACCTAACCTAACCTAACCTAGCTTTTTTGGCTACCTAACCTAACCTTACCTATAAATATAGGTTAGGTTAGGTTAGGTAGGGTTGGTTAGGTTCGGTCATATATCTACGTTAATTTTAACTCCAATAAAAAAAAATTGACCTCATACATAGAGAAAAGGGTTGCTTTATCATTTCATAAGAAAAAAATTATAGTAAATATATTAATTCAGGAAAACTTGGCTTATTAGGCAAATCGGGCCTTGAATAGTAGGCTGAGAAGTGAGTTCTGGCTACTAGGTACGACATATATATATATATATATATGTCGTACCTAGTAGCCAGAACTCACTTCTCAGCCTACTATTCAAGGCCCGATTTGCCTAATAAGCCAAGTTTTCCTGAATTAATATATTTACTATAATTTTTTTCTTATGAAATGATAAAGCTACCCTTTTCACTGTGTATGAGGTCAATTTTTTTTATTGGAGTTAAAATTAACGTAGATATATGACCGAACCTAACCAACCCTACCTAACCTAACCTAACCTATATTTATAGGTAAGGTTAGGTTAGGAAGCCAAAAAAAGCTAGGTTAGGTTAGGTTAGGTAGGTTAGGTAGACGAAAAAACATTAATTCATGAAAACTTGGCTTATTAGGCAAATCGGGCCTTGAATAGTAGGCTGAGAAGTGCGTTCTGGCTATTAGGTACGACATATATATATATATATGTCGTACGACATATATATATATATATATATATATATATATATATATCGTACCTAATAGCCAGAACGCACTTCTCAGCCTACTATTCACGGCCCGATTTGCCTAATAAGCCAAGTTTTCATGAATTAATGTTTTTTCGTCTACCTAACCTACCTAACCTAACCTAACCTAGCTTTTTTTGGCTTCCTAACCTAACCTTACCTATAAATATAGGTTAGGTTAGGTTAGGTAGGGTTGGTTAGGTTCGGTCATATATCTACGTTAATTTTAACTCCAATAAAAAAAAATTGACCTCATACATAGAGAAAAGGGTTGCTTTATCATTTCATAAGAAAAAAATTATAGTAAATATATTAATTCAGGAAAACTTGGCTTATTAGGCAAATCGGGCCTTGAATAGTAGGCTGAGAAGTGAGTTCTGGCTACTAGGTACGACATATATATATATATATATATATATATATATATATATATATATATATATATATATATATATATATATGTCGTACCTAGTAGCCAGAACGCACTTATCGGCCTACTATGCAATGCCCGATTTGCCTAATAAGCCAAGTTTTCATGAATTAATTGTTTTTCGACTACCTAACCTACCTAACCTAACCTAACCTAACTTTTTCGGCTACCTAACCAAACCTAACCTATAAAGATAGGTTAGGTTAGGTTAGGTAGGGTTGGTTAGGTTCGGTCATATATCTACGTTAATTTTAACTCCAATAAAAAAAAATTGACCTCATACATAATGAAATGGGTAGCTTTATCATTTCATAAGAAAAAAATTAGAAAAAATATATTAATTCAGGAAAACTTGGCTTATTAGGCAAATCGGGCCTTGAATAGTAGGCCAAAAAGTGAGTTCTGGCTACTAGGTACGACATATATATATATATATATATATATATATATATATATATATATATATATATATATATATATATATATATATATGTCGTACCTAGTAGCCAGAACTCACTTTTTGGCCTACTATTCAAGGCCCGATTTGCCTAATAAGCCAAGTTTTCATGAATTAATGCTTTTTCGACTACCTAACCTACCTAACCTAACCTAACCTAACTTTTCCGGCTACCTAACCTAACCTAACCTATAAAGATAGGTTAGGTTAGGTTAGGTAGGGTTGGTTAGGTTCGGTCATATATCTGCGTTAATTTTAACTCCAATAAAAAAAATTGACCTCATACATAATGAAATGGGTAGCTTTATCATTCCATAAGAAAAAAATTAGAAAAAATATATTAATTCAGGAAAACTTGGCTTATTAGGCAAATCGGGCCTTGAATAATAGGCCAAAAAGTGAGTTCTGGCTACTAGGTACGACATATATATATATATATATATATATATATACATTTGATGGTTACAAGATATACATGGGTTGATACAAAAATAATAATGCAAAAAGGTGCTTAAAGGTTATGGATCTCTTGAAAAACACAACAATGGGAAACATTGATGAATGTCACAGACGGGTTCGATCATTGTTGCAAGTCAAACACTTCTTCGAATTCCTCTGAAGTTGGACTAGTGCCCAATATATATATATATATATATATATATATATATATATATATATATATATATATATGTCGTACCTAATAGCCAGAACGCACTTCTCAGCCTACTATTCAAGGCCCGATTTGCCTAATAAGCCAAGTTTTCCTGAAATAATATATTTACTATATTTTTTTTCTTATGAAATGATAAAGCAACCCTTTTCTCTATGTATGAGGTCAATTTTTTTTTATTGGAGTTAAAATTAACGTAGATATATGACCGAACCTAACCAACCCTACCTAACCTAACCTAACCTATATTTATAGGTTAGGTTAGGTTAGGTAGCCAAAAAAAGCTAGGTTAGGTTAGGTTAGGTAGGTTAGGTAGACGAAAAAACATTAATTCATGAAAACTTGGCTTATTAGGCAAATCGGACCTTGAATAGTAGGCTGAGAAGTGCGTTCTGGCTATTAGGTACGACATATATATATATATACATATATATATACATATATATATATATATATATATATATATATATATATATATATATATATATATATATATATATATATATATATATATATATATATATATATATATATATAAATACCTTACACCTTACACTGGGGCAATACAGATAAAGTGATATGGAATAATTTATCTGATCGCGATAGTAAATGTCATAAACTTTAAACAGAACCATGAGTGGAGTGAGTATGCTGTAAAAACATGATAGTTCCATCTGTGGAACTGATAACAAATTTGTGTATCCAACACATTTATAGCAAATCATTGAGGAAATGACAGACAAACTGATAGGCAAGGAGGTGGTTCTAAGCATTTCCCTTGCATGGAGGTTAGGTTAGTGTGAAGCAAATTTGGTACGAATAACCATTGCAAATTTTGAGAAAAAAAGAAGATACGGAGAACTGCACAAAAAGATCTAGGAGGGTATAACCAAGTTTACATCTCCCAGACCTTAGAATAGGACAGCACAAAATTACTATAAAGTACTAAGAGACAACCTAAAGGAGTTAAGAAACACAGGCCAGTACAAACACTCAAAGCTGAAGATAAGGAGAGGACTGCAGGTGATCATGACAGTGGATGGGAGAGGACAGTCCTTCACCCGGTCAAACAACTAAAATTATATACATCGGTAAACTGTAAATGCTTCACCCACATACTACAAATACAAATAATCGCCAACACAACCTAAATTCCTAACCTAACCAATGACTAAATATGCACACTATGCTAATATATAAAAATATTAATTTACATGTGAGAAAATTTCTATTCAGTGATCTGCAGGTAAACATGTTGTCCCAAGCAAGATGAACAAATAGACCTAGTGAAAGTGTGAGGCTGACAGTCTAATTAAAGCGTTATCCAAAAAAATCTAAAATTTGGAAATCACAAAGTGTGGGAACTGCTCAAGATCAATGACATTCGTTGGTATAACTGCTGGAAGAGGCGTTGAATGTGTGTGTGGAGTGGCGCCTGACAACTTGCTCTACTAGTAATTGTTGGTAAGTCAACCCAAGATGTCTGACATAATTTAACTCTCCACTAAGGGTAGATTTCCGGGTCCAGGGCGTGGTAAGAGCTGCATTTACGGGTCCAGAGGTGAGGTAAGGCTGCATTTATGGGTCCAGAGGTGAGGTAAGGCTACATTTACGGGTCCAGAGGTGAGGTAAGGCTACATTTACGGGTCCAGAGGTGAGGTAAGGCTACATTTACGGGTCCAGAGGTGAGGTAAGGCTACATTTACGGGTCCAGAGGTGAGGTAAGGCTACATTTACGTGTCCAGAGATGAGGTAAGGCTACATTTACGGGTCCAGAGGTGAGGTAAGGCTACATTTACGGGTCCAGAGGTGAGGTAAGGCTACATTTACGGGTCCAGAGGTGAGGTAAGGCTACATTTACGGGTCCAGAAGTGAGGTAAGGCTACATTTACGGGTCCAGAAGTGAGGTAAGGCTACATTTACAGGTCCAGAAGTGAGGTAAGGCAACATTTACGGGTCCAGAGGTGAGGTAAGGCAACATTTACGGGTCCAGAGGTGAGGTAAGGCTACATTTACGGGTCCAGAGTGAGGTAAGACTACATTTACGGGTCCAGAAGTGAGGTAAGGATGGATTTGCGGGTCTGAGGCGAGGTCAAGCTAGATTTACAGGAAACAAGAAAATTCATCAAATGGAACACTAAGATACATGCAGTGATAAGCAAGTCATAAGGACTAATGAGTAGACCGTGAGTAACACCACCATGTGTTCTACTGAGCTGCTGACTGTTCTGAAAGTGATTAACTCCTTTACGTGTTCCACTGAGCTGTTGAAAGTGTTCTGAAGGTGAGTAACCGCACCAGGTGTTCTACTGAGCTGCTGATTGTGTTCTGAGAGTGAGTAACCCCCCACCACGTGTTCTACTGAGCTGCTGACTGTTCTGAAGGTGAGTAACCCCCCCCCCCCACCACGTGTTCTACTTAGATAGCGTTAACAATCAGTGATAAGATTTCGTAAACAAGATTGATTAGATTACGAGTGGATTCACTTTCTGATGTAATCGTTTGGTGTCAACAGTGTAAGTTCCTTGATATTAAAATGATAACGAAGTAGCTATTTTGCGCAGTGGCCAGAAAGTCAGCTCACAATCCAATGGTCCCGGGTTTGATTCCCCGGCAGGACGAGACATTTTGCATGGCTTCCTGTCCCCGACAATGGGAAATACTTCCTCAGTTCAGTTACAGGCCGCCTGCCTCGTCCTCTCCACACACCACTGTCTCCACTGTCTTTCCATTATTTTGTGTATAAATCTCGCATGCCAAAAAATGCTCCTCCTGAACAATTACAAATTGTAGCTTTATACAGACTTTTTTTCCAAATATAATAGTACTTATAGCAACCGTGGGGTACCGTATAGACTATGATGGTACTTATCATTTATCATCAGTATTTATCACAACTACCGCGAGTTGGGATATAACTAGGCTACCGCGAGTTGGGACATAATTAGGCTACTGCGAGTCGAGACATAACTAGGCTATTGCAGGCTAAGACATAACCTGGCTACACTCCATATTGGGTCGGACATAACTAGGATATTTCGCTGCGCCCTTCGACATCATGTTTGTCACGTCCCGTACAGATGTTTGGAGTCATGGAGTTAAGTAGTTTGTTTACAAGCATACATTAGACACGGCTAGGATGAGGTCAGCAATATGGTAACCCACATTAGCGAATCGTCATTGAGCTAAACTCCCAAATCCGTACCGACATAGTGTTTGGCCTCTGAGACACAGTGTTTGACCTCTGAGATATAGTGTTTGACCCCTGATACATAGTGTTCGACCTCTGAAACCAGCCAAAGCGCTGCGAAGCGCCGGGCGAGTGCTTTGCCACTGCACCACTAGAACTATTTGGTGAGGCTGTGTACACAGGTGGAAACAAACTATATACATGAGCCACGGGGATATTAGATTTTGTCACTGTCAAGGGTAGTGCATGAATGGAATGAATTAAGAAGTGAAGTATTGGAGGCATCATACTTCATACATAACTGCCCGAAACGCCTCCTTACTAGCAGAGCTTCCTAGTCCTCGTCAGTCGAGTACGTCATGAGTCAGTATGGATGGGGGTCATCTTGAGTAATTTAGCAGCTCAGCTCATTAAGTGGGAATGACGCAGTGACTTACATTTTTTTTATAATTTGTCCCAGAGGGATAGTTTATTGGTGAGCGTCGCTCGCCCTGAGTGAAGAAGGTTGCGTCTCGTCTGCTACCCCTTCGGAAACTGTGTTTACTAGTTGTGTGTTTACTAGTTGTGTTTTTGCGGGGGTTGAGCTTTGCTCTTTCGGCCCGCCTCTCAACTGTCAATCAACTGTTTACTAACTACTTTTTTTTTCTTCACACCACACACACACACACACCCCAGGAAGCAGCCCGTGACAGCTGACTAACTCCCAGGTACCTATTTACTGCTAGGTAACAGGGGCACTTAGGGTGAATGAAACTTTTGCCCATTTGTTTCTGCCTCGTGCGGGAATCGAACCCGCGCCACAGAATTACGAGTCCTGCGCGCTATCCACCAGGCTACGAGGCCCCTGGAATGGTGGGGACTGTGGATGGTGGAATGTGGGGACTGTGGAGAATTGGTGGACAGGTGGCGAGTTGAAACTGACATTCTGCCGACTACTGGGAGTTTAGAGGTTCTGGATGATGCTCAGTTTTGTGACTGATGGGTTATTGTTTTGTGGCTGCATGCTTATGTGTTCGCCCCTTATGCTCTCGAGATGCCTCTATATACTGTTTCGTCATTGTGGTCATCGATAGTCATGTCTGTGTTTTTTCCTATCTTATGTGTTCAGTGATGGGCTGTCACAATTGCCTCGTGCAGTTTCCGTTGGGTACTTTCTTTTGATAATTACTTTAAGCATGTACGGGGCACCGCTCTCCGGGTTTCTTCTTTATGTCTCGTGTCCCCACTTTTTTGTTTGGGTATCTTGTATTTTTTATGCATTTTCAACTTTGAATGTCTTTTGTTCGTGGGGGGTTTCTATTTGCATTGAACATTTTTATGTCTGTTTAGATTGTCTTGCAACGTTTACTTGGTTTGTGACTGCCTGTGTATGGTGCGAGAGTGGGTTCTGTGGGGTTCACAGTGCTGTTATGGATTGTTTGGGTTTTCATGCTATGTGGGTTTGTGGGTTTGTAGTCATTTGTCTTTTGTGTTGTCTTGCTTTTTTTTTTTTTTTTTTTTTTGGGGGGGAGTAAAGAGGAAGGAGAGGCATAGGTGAAGGGAAGTATAGAAGTGGGAAATACAGTGAGAGGTATGAAAGCAGGCGGGCTGTCCGCCTTGCTGACACGATGTGTGATGTGTGACACGATGTTGTCTTGCTGGTGGCTTTTGTTAAATTTGCCTTTCGTATGTATAATATTGTTCTTTTGTATTCTTGTGCTTATTATTATGTATTATGCTACTGCCTTTTATTGTAAATGCTGTACTGCTTTTGTTGTGTTTTTCAGTTTCATGTCGTTTTGCTTCTGTTAACTTTTATGTATATTTTTGTCTTGCATGTTTATCGTGCTTTTATTGTGTTCAAGTATGTTGTTTGCAGGGAACTCCTCTGGGATTTGCAGCGTACTTTCCTGTTGTTTGGGTAATACAGTTTAAAACATGTGCATGTTATACAGTTGCTATTTGTAGCCTGTATTACTTTTACCTATGATAGTTGTATCAATTGTAGAGTTCTTTTTAATTTTGTAAAGCAAGATTTAATAATAGGCTTTAATCAGTTTTCTTTATTTTTTGGAGCCTAGATACTGGTCTGTATATTGAACCGTAAATGAAGTATGAATTCCTAGAAAGTGTAACTTGTACCGTTTTGACCTTATATATTTGTGGTAATATTAATTGTTATTTCACAGGAGGAGGAGGAGTTACTTTTGAATTAAGATTATGACAGATGGTTTAATAATTCTTGGCAGAGTTGATGAGATCTGGGATAACGACCAATTATTCTTGGTAGTCTTCAGATAGCGTCTGACAGTGTTACATCAATCATATCTGTGGCTGACAACAAATCAGCCAACGTACATACGTAAGGTTTGCGTTATCAAAGGGTAACCATTCATGATTTCATTTACGTAATTAGTAGCGTTGTGCGCTCAAGTTTATTGATCATTTTCATTAAAAATAAGAAAATCCGCAAGAGTTCAGTGATAGTCCTTCATACTGTGTTGTGGCCTGGAACAACGAGTGACCCGTTGTCAACATTACGACCAACTTAAGACTCTGACGGGAAGCAAAGGAATCACAGTTTGGTTCACTCTAGAGTGAGCAAACTCTGTGAACGCTGTATAGGTGGAGGTGAATTGGTAGCGTGGGGGAGCTGCTATCGCTGTCAGACTCTGCAGTACTCAGGGACTGGGTTAGCTGCTGCAGTTCTGCGGATGACAGGCATAATAGAGCAGCTAGAGGGGGTCATAAAGCAGTCTTTGTACATTACTCTGAAAACCGACTTCCACACTTATAAAAATACCCCGTCTAATGAGTAGGTGGCTTGACCCATACGATTTCATAGCATCTGGACTGGAGAGAATGATTCCACGTGTAGTGGTTAAGTTTGAAGTCGTTACGAGCCCAGCGAAGGAGACGAAATCCCAGACACTCCAATTGCTGGAAGATCCTCCACAGCCTGTTAAAGATGTTGGTCGGCTGTCTGGCGATCTCGTTGTTGCCTGTCAGAGATACAAGGAAGAGGTTTACCAGAATGGTTCTGGAATGCTGTACAGATTTTCGGAACTATATAACATACAAATTCTGGCATAACAGCGGCTTGGTACAAAATAAATGTTCAAGTAAAGATATTTTAATCAAATAATATCCGATAAAAAGTATTCTAAAATATTTACTTTATAGAGTAGGGTAAAAAATGTTAACACATTTAATGCAATGAAAGTATAGTAGGAACTGTGCCTTTTCAGTGAAAGAACATACCATTCTTGGGTAAGGCAGCTTCGCTACCAAGGATTAGAGACCAAGGATTAGAGAGGGCAGCGGTGCTCGACACCCCACGCCACACCGCTCGTGCGAGTCCATGACCACACATGTTCGTACCATGACCACACATGTTCGTACCAGGACCACACATGTTCGTACCAGGACCACACATGTTCGTACCAGGACCACACATGTTCGTACCTAACCACACATGTTCGTACCATAACCACACATGTTCGTACCAGGACCACACATGTTCGTACCTAACCACACATGTTCGTACCATAACCACACATGTTCGTACCAGGACCACACATGTTCGTACCATAACCACATGTTCGTACCAGGACCACACATGTTCGTAACATTATCATTATTTATTGAGTTGCATTTAAGCATACAACCTGCGCCTGTATACATTATAGCCCAGGAGTGATATTTATACACCAGTGGAAGGGGAGACTGGGCGAGCATGGTTGGCCAGAATTTACCCAGTGAAAGACTGGGACAAGAAGATGACAGGATGTGGGGAGATGACAGGATGTGGGGAGATGACAGGATGTGCGGAGATGACAGGATGTGCGCAGACAACTGGAGGATCTGGATAAGATAAAGGTTGAGGACCCACACTACACCTCACCGTGAGGGTGTTGACAGGAGCGGCTGGTGTCCTCAGCCAACCTGTTGAACCACTCGTCAACTTTTCCTCTCAAAATTAAGAATTACTAATTGACTCAGAGAAGTTAAACTTAATTAATTTTGTTAAAACTATGATATGGGCAAAACGAGTTCGGCTTAAACCTCACAGTACTCAGGAGTGTAACACATACTGGCAATCCTTAGCTTGATTTGGTGATGGGCTTAAGGCCATCAACCTTATCGAATCATTTAGGCCACACAACCCCTGCAAAGTCAGCTAAGATAAATATCAATCTATCGTAGCCTAATGTACGCACTATATATTTATCTAACGACCAGGCCTCTTAGAGCCACGGGGACGTTGAGCTCCGAAATCATCGCAAGGTAAGGTAACCGATTGTTCTTAAACATGGCGGCAGGAAACGTCATGGTAGATTCTATCCATTGGGTAATTTATTTGTTATTTGAATTCTCTGTACGTCATCCTCAAAGCCTCACCAATAGCCACGCCAGGATGTATCTCGAGGCCCAGGTGGGTGACGGAGGCCAAGATCTCCGGCTGGTGTTCCAGCACCTCCTCCAGCGTCTCTACCTCCATCCCTTCGATGTCCATCTTCAGGTAGTCGATCTTCCGCCCGACGTGTCCCAGCTTCTTCATGATCCCTCCCAGACGGTCCACCTGGCGGGAGAAGTGGGAACTGGTAATGTAAACACACAGGCCACCTGGCGGGGGAAGTGGGAACTGGTAATGTAAACACACAGGCCACCTGGCGGGGGAAGTGGGAACTGGTAATGTAAACACACAGGCCACCTGGCGGGGGAAGTGGGAACTGGTAATGTAAACACACAGGCCACCTGGCGGGGGAAGTGGGAACTGGTAATGTAAACATACAGGCCACGTGGCGGGGTTACTGAAGAAAGGTTGATCAGTGTCCCATGCCACTATGGACCATCACAACTGGTTAATAATTTACTGCGGGCCTTCTAGCACAACACAAACGATGTGACCATAGTCTAGGGTGGAGCTAAACAGAGCACAGTCCCTTCCCAGTGACGTCTCAAGTGCTTCTGACGTTTTGTCTGAGGACTCTGTGATGTAGCTCCAACTGAATTCCTGCTGTTAATTGATGACGATGTCATGTGACGTCATGATAGAATCAAGACCTGATTCTATCAAAGGTGAAAGAAAAAAACAAGAAACACCCAAAACACACACATATCCTACTTATCTGCTCACATATAGACACATGTGTACATAATCTTTATCAGTTCAAAAAGTTAAATTAATTGGGTAATAACTCTCAACTCAAGTGAGTGGTCACTTACGGTGGAGTGAGAACGACAAAAGCACTCTTACTTATCTTGCCTATAATGAAATGAGTGTAAGTACATGTCGTGCTTTCCATATGATGAGTATATGTACTCACCTTGCCATTCATGAACTTGCCAGATTTGCTGCCAACACCCATCCTGAAGAAAGTGACATTAGCGGAGCGCTGGTGGTCGCCGGCAGCCATACTGGGGTCGAACGAGAACACCTGCAGGAGAATCAAGAATTGTAGCAACCCTTCGTAGTATACTCGCCCTCAAACGGAGGGACCTTCGACAAGCCACCAGCTTCATGTCCCCGTCGAGGCCACTATAGTGGTTCTCAGGTAAGCTCAGATAAACATGTGTTCATGGTTACTTATCTTGCACCTCCTTCACAACCACCTGGCACCAAGGACCTACACACCCACCTGGCACCCGTAGGCGGCCATAGCGTCGTCGAAGGACCACTCATTGTTGATGCCGAAGGAGTAGACGAGGCAGCGGGTGGGCGGCGGGGCCAGCGGGGAGTCCATACACGCCCACTTGTCCCCGTCAAAGAAATCTCTGTGTTTCACTCCACCAAACATTTTCTGAAATGAGTGAAAGATGCGACAATGAGTTAGTTTAGTTCATTTATTATGCACCCCCATACCCATCTGTTGGGCGGTAGTGGAAATGGTTACAGAGGCACATAATGGGCTCAGGGACTGAACCCCACAATTCATTTAGCTAAGCAAGTTACAATCTTGATGAGCTAGTTACAAAATTCAATATAAGTCGTCACATCAACAATGGGTTCGAGATTTTTTTTGTTTCTCTACAGCCTACTGAAGTATGCAGCGAAAAGTATATGAAGCTTGTGAAGGAGCCTCATATTATTTTTCTGTGATTTTTTTTTTAAAGTTTACTGTAAACTATTTTTTACTTGTTTAAACAAGTAGACGTTCCACAAAATGATCACTCTCGGTGAGGGAACAAAACTCATCTCTTGCCTGGTTTACTGTAACTCCTTTTTTAACTTGGCAGCTGGAGCCTCAGACACAATAGTCCGTATAATAATGATAATACTTTATTTAGACAAAAGTACATACGTAGAATACAAGAAGAGTGTAGAGTCCCTAGGTAGGACAAGGTGTCTGAAGCCATTAATATGCTGAGCGTTTTGGCCATAATGTGAAAAAAATGGTGAACAGTACAGAAGCTCAATATTGGGGTAACCTGAAACTAAATGGGATCAGAAACATTAATGAATTGAAGAGCAATATAAATAAAATGATATTATTACGTGATGATTGGAACAGCAAAAACTGCAATACTTTTCACAGAATAAACAGATGGTATATATATATGTTTAATACAGTTTTACACGGCAGATATCTGTAACAGCACAAGTTCAGTAAATAATGTTCAATAACAGCACTATCATAGGTTATTATTTAGGAAGTAAGGTAGATTACATAGAGTTGATTTGGTAGTTCTTAGTTGTTTTTAAATTGCTTTATGGAATGACAGTTTTTAATGTGATTAGGGAAGTCATTCCACATTTTAGGACCCCTTGATTTGAAGATCATCTCTGCTTTGGTTAAGTCGCACTCTTGGAATATCAAAAATATATTTGTTTCTAGTGAAGTGCTCAATGGTTCTGTTACAACCCTCTAGGAAGCGCTTAAAGTCGGGGTAGCACTGCCGTTCAGTGTTTTATTTATTTATTTATTTATTTATTTATTTATTTATTTATTTATTTATTTATTTATATGCAAGAAGGTACATTGGGTTTGTGAGGATACATAGCATAGTTCAAGTATGTTTATTGAGACAAGAAAAAATACATCTCAAAGGGATAGAGTGGCTTAGGCTATTTCTACCCCCCTTCCCCGCATAACATAGCGTAGTGATTAGATTCTTGTAAAGCCGTACGCTCAGCGTTTCGGACAGGTCCTTAATCTAATTTTAAGTAGGTAAAGTTTTATATATGGAGAGCACACTTGACAGAATGTGTAGTGACTTTATATTCATCATATTCAAGGATTTAAGTAAGAGGGCTGAGTGCTGTCTGGGGTTTAAATTTGTTATTGTTCTAATTGCTGTTTTGTGTTGAGTAATTGGAAGCCGAAGATAAATTTGGGTAGCAAGACCCCAAGCACAGATACCATAGGTGATATAAGGATAGATAAGAGAGTAATCAAGCGTTACCAGCGCAGGGTGAGGTACACAGTGTGATTTTAGAAAGAAAGTTACATATATACATATTTTTGTTTGTTTTTAGTATATGGCAATGGAAATTCCACTTTTTATCAATGAGAACATCAAGGAATTTACCATCAACTCTGTTACTAATTTGGATAATGTTAATTCTTAGGTTAATTGGATCAAAGGATTTATTACCAAATAAAATATTGAAGGTTTTATCAATGATAAGAGCTAAGTATATTGTGCTTTGCTATATAGGAGCATATCTGCTTGTATATTAGCTTTTAAATGATTTTAGATAAGGTTGGCAGGATTAATATCAATCTGAAATTGTTGACTTCAATGAGGTCAACACTTTTGTGGACTGGGATTACTCTTACTTTTTAGGATATCATGAAAGGTTCAGAGTTCAATTGATTTGTAGGAAATGTATATGTTTATCTCTCAGAATGTTTGGTAATATGTTTATTGTTTGTGATGTGTGTCTATGTATGCATTAACACGATGTACTGAACGGGGTGAGAATAGCTTGAGCTACCTCATCCCTTTGTGTGTATTTTACCTCAATAAACTTATTTCAATTTCAATTTCAATTGATTTGTTGTAGTGCACTGCAATGGCCAGAGCTAAAAAGTTGAGTTTTTTGTAAATTAGGGTTAATATATCAGCAAGGGTACTTTAATTAGTTTTAGCGAGAGGATTAGTTTAAATCCTAGGATTAGATTAGATTAGAGAGGGTCCAAATAGTACAGTCAGATTCGTACTCGACGCACAAACGACAATTCCGGGTTCGAATCCAGGGCGGGACAGAAATGGTTGGACACATTTCCTTTCACCAAATGCACCTGTTCACCTAGCAGTATGTAGGTACTCAGGAGTTCGTCAGCTTGTTGTGGGGTTGCATCCAGGGCGGGTGTTGTTAGACACTAACCAGTGGTGTTAGAGAATGACTACTTCTGCCAGACACTGATCTGTGGTGCCAGAGACTGGACAGTGGTGCCAGAGACCGACCAGTGGTGCCAGAGACTGACCTGTGATGCCAGAGACCGTCCAGACGTCAACAAACAGTAACACCTTAGTCTTAGAATGATCCCAAGCACCATATCACCACAAACTGAGATATCATAGTTTCTTTCGCATAAACTGTCATAATTTTAGCGGTGAGGCGGCGGTACAGAGAGGAGGGGGGCCATGACTGGCTGCCTTACCAGGTGCTTGCAGGGGTACATCGTCTGGTTGCTGAGACCAAAGAACTGGCTGTAGTTTTGCAGCGGCTGGACATGGCAGTTGAGTAACGCGGTCTTCGGGTCAACTTCCCTCGTACCTGTCGTATCCCCCACACACACAGAAGTAATGTTAACTCTCATTTGGTGTACAAGAGGAACTATGGCTATTGGTTCTCCCTACACCCGCTGGGATACACAGGGTGTAACTAGTCCATCCTCCTAGAGAAATATCGGTGCCTAGTACACAGAACTGTTACCGGCGTCGGAGCTCTGTATGTATACACACACACACACATACACACACGGAGCAACGCGCGCGCGTGTGTATGTATACATACGAAGAAGTAATACATAAAGTTTTATATATTTTCCCTCTGGGAGAGGACTTAGGCTACACCCTGTGTACGCGGCGCGGGGTCACGAATATACCACCAACATTATTGCTGGATAATAAAAGATAAATTTAGTTTTAAAACCTTAATCAAGGTATTACTCAGATATACAAGGTTTTATTCAGATATTCGCAGATATGCAAGCTATTTCTCAGATATACAAGGTATTATTCAGATATATAAGTTATTACTCAGATATACAAGGTGTTATTCAGATATACAAGATATTACTCAGATTTACAAGAAATTACTCATATATACTCAGATATACAAGAAATTACTCATATATACTCAGATATACAAGAAATTACTCATATATACTCAGATATACAAGGAATTACTCATATATACTGAGATATACAAGGAATTACTCATATATACTGAGATATACAAGGAATTACTCATATACAAGGTATTACCAGGATATACAAGGTATTACTCAGACATACAAGGCATTAATCGTATGCCGTACATTAATCATACGAATACAACGTATTATACTCATATATACACTGTATTACACAGATATACAAAGTATTACTCAGATATACAACATATTAGTCACATTATTAGGCTATAATCCGCTTGCGTTAGCTCTATTAAATACATTTGTGATGTTCCGGTTTTAATTTCGCCTGAGACTGAATTTTAACGTTAACGTCAGTGGAGTTATTTTCATCCTTTCGTTCTATATTCTGTTAATACTTACCAGGCGTCTGCAGTATTACATGTCTCTGTGATTGCAATAATTTATGTTACTTCTACACACGTAACTAAATGTTTTACTGTATTGACACTTCTGGTATTTGTATGTTATATGTTTAGGTTATTTGTTTGTCTATGTTTTGGTTATTTGTTTTTGTCAATCTTTGGTTGCACTACTATAACCCGAGACGTTGTTGGTCTCGCATTCAGAGCTCCTCTGAGGTGGCCAGCCATCCTCCAACCCGTTCTCGCACTTGCTTATAGTCAATATTGGCTTATTTAATTAGTGCATATGTGACATACTAATTGATTGTGAATATGTTAGTTTACCTTGAGAAGCTTCATAGAAAACACCGACCTTACCTAATCTTCTTAGTATGTTAAGATAAGCATCTTATTGCTTCTTAATTACAATTATTACTTAACCTATACCGTTGATAGGTCATCCACCCAGACCTGTCTCATTCCTGTTTAAAGACTGATATAGCTGTGTGCATGATTACCGCTGAGAGCAGCACTCTGGTCGTTAGTGTATACTTACCGCTCAAGGAAGTTTTCAGGTAGTTAGCGCTGACTGATAAGTAATTATCCCAATTATCCCTCGAGATCGCTCTGTCAAAATAAAACTTGTATTAATAATGCGAGTGGCCTGTGGCGCAGCGATTAGCATAGTCGCTCACAACCAGTTGGCCCGGGTTCGGTTCCTGGGCAAGGTGAAATGTTTGGGCAAGAGTCTTCTTGACACCTGACACTTTTGTTTACCTAGCAGTACATAGGTACTTGGGATTTAGGCAAATGCCACCTCTTGGGTGGCTTAATCTTCATCAATCAATCAGGCAGCTACAAGTTACAGCCCCGCTCCTGTGCCAGGTAAGTCCACTGCGGGCTCACCATAGCTCTGGCTTTTGGTCCCGCCTCTCAACCGTCAATCAACAGGTGTGATAATAATAATATTTATAACCAGTACAGGTGTTGGGAGGCGCGTTTATGTTGAGGATGATAAGAGCTTCAAAGGTGTTTGATGCGTTGTGAGATAGAGGAGCGGCGAGTAAAACCGAAGTGTATGTTAGAGGAAAACTTGCCGCACCGTAGGGCGGTGTTGTGTTTATGGCGTCAGGTGATCCATGGTGTCGCGGCCAGGCTGTTGTGTTCTGTGTGTGGCTGTTGATTGATTGATGAAGATTAAGCCACCCAAAAGGTGGCACGGGCATGAATAGCCCGTAAGTGGTGGCCCTTTTGAGCCATTACCAGTATCAATAGATGATACTGGTATGATCTGTGGAGGTGCGACTGCACCCTGAGTGACGGGAGATGTCTCCCGTGTGTGGCTGTTGATTGATTGATAAAGATTAAGCCACCCAAGACGTGGCACGGGCATGAATAGCCCGTATGTGGTACAATTTTTTTTTCAGTGTTCTGAGGTTGCATTTAATCATCAAGCTGTTAATGGCGCCAGGTATAAATGTGGCACGGGTCAGATATGACCCTCCCTCCCTTATCAGTTACAGCCCCGCTCCTGTGCCAGGTAAGTCCACTACGGGCTCACCATAGCCCGTACTACTTGGAACATTTTGTTCCAAGTAGCGAATCTTAAACAACAACAGCAACATTAGTGGCCCAATCTGTTGGTCGACTGGAGATATTTACCCAGTGCTTTAACTATCTGATATTTTTCCTGTAACGAGTGGTCACCTCCTTATATATGCTCGATGGTGAAGGGTATTTTAAGTGCGATTAATACTTGTTTGAAATTTACTCTGGCACATTGATGTCGGTGAAGGAGATTAGTGTTCAATAGTTTCAGGCACCTGACAGTGGATGTGGAGTTCGTTGATGTCTGTTCTGTACTTAGAGCTGTGTGCTGCTAGTTTGGTGATTGATTGATTGATAAAGATTAAGCCACCCAAAAGGTGGCACGGGCATGAATAGCCCGTAAGTGGTGGCCCTTTTGAGCCATTACCAGTATCAAGAGCTGATACTGGAGATCTGTGGAGGCGCAACTGCACCCTGCGTGACGGGAGATGGCTCCTGGACCAAATGGTGTGCCAGTTTGGTGTAGTATCCCAGCCTTAATCTCCCCAACCACTTGGGCTGGACGGTAGAGCGACGGTCTCGCTTCATGCAGGTCGGTGTTCAATCCCCAACCGTCCAAGTGGTTGGGCACCATTCCTTTCCCACGTCCCATCCCAAATCCTTATCCTGACCCCTTCCCAGTGCTATATAGTTGTAATGGCTTGGTGCTTTATCCTTAGAGTTCCCTTCCCTTCCCAGCCTTAATCTGGTCATCGCTACATGTTGCTGTTATAGATTCAGCTACTCTGAACAAGTTCCAAGTAGCACGGGCTATGGTGAGCCCGTAGTGGACTTACCTGGCACAGGAGCGGGGCAAGTAGCACGGGCTATGGTGAGCCCGTAACTTACCTGGCACAGGAGCGGGGTAAGTAGCACGGGCTATGGTGAGCCCGTAACTTACCTGGCACAGGAGCGGGGTAAGTAGCACGGGCTATGGTGAGCCCGTAACTTACCTGGCACAGGAGCGGGGTAAGTAGCACGGGCTATGGTGAGCCCGTAACTTACCTGGCACAGGAGCGGGGTAAGTAGCACGGGCTATGGTGAGCCCGTAACTTACCTGGCACAGGAGCGGGGCTGCAACTTTGCAATTGCCTCGTTACATCAATTTCTCTGCTTTTATATCTGACATGTTTCCAAGTTTTCCATCTCTAACGTCATGTTCATCTCTGTACTATCGGTCCATAAAACAGTACTTCATCTTTACCTGTGTAATCACCCGTCAATTTTTTATTGTTGACATAAAACCTTGCTACAATGTACGTTTTCACCGAATTTTTGTTGTTTTAGAGTTAGCCACTGAGAACGAAGTGTCCATGTAGCACGGGCTATGGTGACCCCGTACCTGATAGGTTATGTAAGGACCTGCCCGAAACACTAGGCGTGTTACGTGGCTTTGCAATCATGTAAAGATATCACTCTAATCTAATCTCACCAACCTATTGTACCTTTTTGTAAATAAAATATTATTATTATTATTAGTATAGCTTCAAATATTTCTCAGAGAAAATGGGGTAACTATTATATGCAGGCGATGAGTCACAATAACGTGGCTAAAGTTTGATGACCAGACCACACACTAGAAGGTGAAGGGACGACGACGTTACGGTCCGTCCTGGACCATTCTCAAGTCGATTGAAACGTCGTCGTCCCTTCACATTCTAGTGTGTGGTCTGGTCATGAACTATTATATCTTTACATATTTCCCACCACTAGGCTGTGTAACAAGAGAGCAGTACATAGTACATGAACATCATAACAGCATGAACAGGCCACGTGGAGGATGAACAACCCACAGGCGCCAGACAGGCGGCGGCAGACAATGTAAAAGTTACACCTCTGTACAAGTTAGCCATAGAGTCAGGTCAACGGTCATCGAATCACAAAGAGGTCAGAATTGATGCCGTCATGGTAATCTTCAGGGATTAACCCCTAAACAACAAATGCAAAACCCTCATGTTCAGCTGAGGAGCAGCAGATCAGGGGAGTCAGTTGAGTGGGCACAGCCCAGTAGGGAGGTGTGTGTGGACTCTGGGAAGAAACATCATCTCCAGGAAAACTGTGGAACAACATACGAGTAAGTACGGCTCTCTTGTACTAAAGCACCTCATTCAGTACCCTTGGCCTCTAGTAGGGAATATAGTTAGGGAATGTCTTATTTAATTATTTCTAATAAAGTCAGATATTAAGTGTTATTAAATGTGTATTAATGGTTCCTTGCCTAGTGATATTGGGCCTACCGTCCCTTTTGCCCTAGTGACCTAGTGCTCTTAATTATTCAGTACTCCTCCCCCCGTTCGTCTTCCGTGTTGAGGTGTTAGTATTGGGGGTGTCCCGCCTTATTCTTGTGTACACTATAGTTCCCAAGTGGTCAGGATTATTCGAGTGTCAGGCCAGGATCCTTGTACCGTTCAATTGTCCCCTACACCTGTCCTGGTAGGTTATTCCATCTGCAAGACCTACGACTCTCACTCCGGTCCCCTGTCCGGTAACTCAGGGTGGTGGCAGCGTCACTCGGTAACTCATACGATAGGCTGTGACTACGATTACCTCTATCTTTCTGTCTCACTCTCCCTCACTAGTGTCTCACTCTCCCTCGCCCTCACTCGCTCTCGTTCTCCCTCCCTTGCTCTCGTTCTCGCTCTCTCCTCTCTCTCTCCTCTCGCTCTGCCTCCCTCTTCCTCTCTCTCTCTCTCCTTCCTCTGTGTACTGGTTTACGTCTTCGTATGACGGCCCGAGTGTTAACATCTTATATGATCGGTATAGCATCTGTTATTACCATAGAAAGAGCGGAGATTGCACGGTTAGCTCAGTGGTAGTAGCGGAGTGCGCGGTCGAGATAGATACAAGGCGAGGTATTACAATCAGGGTTATTACAGCTGCTCTCTCCCAGCGACCTCCTGCGCGTCAGTGGTAGACAATTTTATTTTTAACTAGAGGGTGTACCCAGCGTTGCCCAGGTCTCTCTGTTCCTCCATCCCCCATCTCTCCTTCTATCTATCCTTCTATTTGTCACTTCATCTATCTATCCATCAATTCACCTATTCATCTTTTGATGCGTTTATCTATATTTAACCATTCATCTATCCTTCCATCCCTCTATACATCCATCCATTAATATATCTATCTTTCTATCCATCGACCCATCTATCCATCCATCTGTCCACGTATCCAGCTATCTATCAAACCTAACTTATTTGCCCAACCACTTGAACATAGACGGTAGAGCCACGGTCTCACTTCATGCAGGTCGGCGTTCAATCCCCGACCGTCCAAGTGGTTGGGCACCATTCCTTCCCCCCTGTCCCATCCCAAATCCTCATCCTGATCCCTTCCCAGTGCCATATAGTCGTAGTTGCTTGGCACTTTCCCCTTGATAATTCCCTCTTTCACATCTATTTCCTAGTCTACTTTTCCCTCACATTGAAGAGTTATACTCACATAGCGAAGATAACGAAGATGGCAATACCCAAGGCCACCTTGCCCAACTGGCTCGACAACCTCAGCATTTCTGGTCGAGTACTTCACCGCTTCGTGTCCCAGAAATATCTGGCCGCCCTGCTACCTGCTTAGCTCCTATCTGCTTCGCTGCGCTGTTATTATTCCCACCGCGCGCGTTAGTTGGTCCCTATTTCCTGGTGAGTGGGGGGCGGCTCCCCCCCCCCGGCCTCTCTAGGGGGGCGGGGCTCCCCCGACCCCTCTACCACACATGTTCTCATGTTTCAGCCAGTCAACACATCTCGTACAGATTTCTACCCTGCTTGCAGGCAGGAGCCCAGGAACACGAGCCCGTGAAGTTTACTTATAGGTTTATAAGAGGTTTACTTACTTATTGAGAATACTTTTATATTTATATATATAAAAGAATTAAGATTAATAATTCTAACACGAATTTTCTCGATGTTTCTTATATTTCTTTTCACTGTTGGTGGTAACTGAAAGATCAATTCTCCAAAATTCATTTTTATTTCTAGTCTGACGCGACACTTGAACGCGTTTCGTAAAACTTATTACATTTTCAAAGACTTTGAAAATATATTAATAATAAAAGAATTAAATGAACAAATCCACAAGGGCCGTGACGAAGGTTCATTTGATGCATCAGGCTATTGTGATTTGTGTGTGTTATACAAGAGTTGGTACATTATTGTATAGCCACTAGTACGCGTAGCGTTTCGGGCAAGTCCTTAATCCTATGGTCCCTGGGATACGACCCCCGCGAAGAATCGTTTTTACAGCCAAGTACTCATTATACTGTTGGGTTAAACAGAGGCTACAGTTAAGGATTTGCACTGTACTCTATTCAGGATTACAGCATACTTGCTGGTGGGTAAGTTGTGGTGGCCTGATTAACCCTTTAGAGCATGATTGGCCTGTCACCAATCCAAACACCCAAGTATGCCCAATCCCCAATTACACCTGGGGTTTTGTACACTACATGTGTTGTTGTGCAGTGCCCTGGTTGTTAACTGTAACTTAACACGAAACAATGGGTATCGAAGGTAAGAATGGAAGTAACTGCAGAGGGCCTATTGGCCCATATTTCTTGATGCTTCTATATTGGAGCTTCTATATAACACTTCAAGACTCCGCTCCAATATAGAAGCATCAAGAAATATGGGCCAATAGGCCCTCTGCAGTTACTTCCATTCTTACCTTCAATACCCATTGTTTCGTGTTCTATCCTGTGTTGAAAGTTTTGTTCACCTCATCCAAAACTGTTGTAACATATCACTTCACCCAAAATGCGGATATAAAACGAAAAATGAAAGCTGTTTAAATCATTGCATAGTAAGAACTCTGTTTAGTGTTTGCAGGTTATAGTTGTGTGTGTGTAAACTAAAAGTCTTTGAAAATGTAATAAGTTATTACGAAACGCATTCAAGTGTCGCGTCAGACTAGAAATAAAAATTAATTTTGGAGAATTGATTTTTCAATTACCATCAACAGTGAAAAGAAACATAAGAAATATCGAGAAAATTAGTGTTAGAATTATTAATCTTACTTTTTCGATCATATTTAATAATATATATATAAACACCAGTGGATATACATATATATATATATATATATATATATATATATATATATATATATATATATATATGCAAACAAGCCTGAATGGTCCCCAGGACAATATGCGACTGAAAACTCACACCCCAGAAGTGACTCGAACCCATACTCCCAGGAGCAACGCAACTGGTAACTACAGGACGCCTTAATCCGCTTGACCATCACGACCGGACATAAGGAAGTGATAGCCGAAGCTATTTGAACCACTTCCCCACCGGCACTCGGATGGTAATCTTGGGCATGGCATTTTATCAAATCACCTCATTCTTTGGGGCACACGTGAGGAACACAAATGCGAACAAGCCTGAATGGTCCCCAGGGCTATATGCTTCCTTATGTTCACTTCCTTATGTCCGGTCGTGATGGTCAAGCGGATTAAGGCGTCCTGTAGTTACCAGTTGCATTGCTCCTGGGAGTATGGGTTCGAGTCACTTCTGGGGTGTGAGTTTTCAGTCATATATATATATATATATATATATATATATATATATATATATATATATATATATATATATATATATATATATATATATATATATATATATATATATATATATATATATATATATATATATATATATATATATATATATATCAATAAATGAGGTATGTACTTTTCTCAAACAACTCTTGTATATATAAATATATAAGTACAAATTTTGATCAGTATCTGCCAGCACCTATATCACCTGCCAGTATCCACCGGTGTTTAATACCGTCACGGAGAAGACAACATCTTCACTTCAAAGTTTAATAATGACACAGAAGCAAAGTATTCCAAAGAGATCACTTCGTTTAATGATCCCAAATGGTTACCACTTGACGAGTGGGGGTGGAGTGGGGTGGTTTCTTTGGCTTGGGGTTGAGGGGTTTGGAGTGGTGGTGGTGGGGGGGTTGGTTTCCCTTTGTGCTTCCCACTCCTCCCCCTTCCTTGGGGCTTCCTCGGCAGGGAGGTTTTGGATGGGTTGTGTGTGTGCCTTGTGCTGGAGCTGCTCCTGTGCATAGGTTTCTTGGTGTCTGCTGGAGCTGCTCCTGTGTCTAGGTTTCTTGGTGTCTGCTGGAGCTGCTCCTGTGCATAGGTTTCTTGGTGTCTGCTGGAGCTGGTTAGTACTCACCTAATTTTGCTTGCGGGGGTTGAGCTTTGGCTCTTTGGTTCCACCTCTTAACTGTCAATCAACTGGTGTACAGGTTCCTGAGCCTATTGGGCTCTGTCATATCTACACTTGAAACTGTGTAGGGAGTCAGCCTCCACCACATTACTTCCTAATGCATTCCATTTGTCAACCACTCTGACACTAAAAAAGTTCTTTCTAAAATCTCTGTGGCTCATTTGGGCACTCAGTTTCCACCTGTGTCCCCTTGTGCGTGTTCCCCTTGTGTTAAATAGCCTGTCTTTATCTACCCTATCAATTCCCTTGAGAATCTTGAATGTGGTGATCATGTCCCCCCTAACTCTTCTGTGTTCCAGCGAAGACAAGAAGTGTGTACTCACCTAGTTGTGTTTGCGGGGGTTGAGCTCTGGCTCTTTGGTCCCGCCTCTCAACCGTCAATCAACAGGTGTACAGATTCCTGAGCCTATTGGGCTGTGTGTGTGTGTGTGTGTGTGTGTGTGTGTGTGTGTGTGTGTGTGGGAGGTGTGACTAACTTTTTATATGTGTTAAAATTACTGTATTTATGCTATGTCTATTTACGGTTGGGGATATGTTTTGTGTTATTTATTTCATGTACTGCTCTTTGTATCATTATGTTTTTTCCTGATGTATCCCGTGCCTGTATCAGGGTTTCCTGTTTGGTGCTTTATGTACTGTGTTATTCTTTCTTTTGGAGAGTCCGTCTGTTCCAGTTGTTGCCAGCGTTATTCCTTTGTTATGATGTGTTACTGCCATGCTTTAACAACATAAGAACAAAGGTAACTGCAGAAGGCCTATTGGCCCATACGATGCAGCTCCTATCTATAACCCGCCAATCCCACTCATATACTTGTCCAACCCGCGCTTGAAACAATCGAGGGACCCCACCTCCGCCATGCTTTCTTCCGTGTTTACCTGTCTCTTATCTGTATATTGTTTTGATTTATAAATAGTTAAAAAAAAACTTGACATAGAAACATAATAGAGCGAAGGATAGGTGTACAGAAGATGGAAAGGGGGAGAGAGACCCCCATCTACAAAACATCTATGTGAAAAAATAGGGTCCCGATACAATAGTCCTCGACTCAAGTCCATTCCATCCAGCGGTCGACCCCACAGACGTATTCATAAATTGTAACATGCTGTTCATTCAAAACGGGAATTTTCTCAAATGTAAATTGGTATTATAGTATATTAGCATATTGTGTATATATAGACATAGGTTAGGTTAGGTGTTTAGGTTCTGTTGGCGATTATTTGTATTTGTAGTACGTGGGTGAAGCATTTACAGCGTTGTGGTTTGAACACCAGTCGTCAGTGAAGCACTTGTTCCGGAAGTGTTCGAACGTCAGCAGTTATGAATCGTGTGTAAACAGTTTTTCATCCATAAACAGCTGGGGAGGGTTTGGCGGGTGGATGGAATCACTTTTGGGTCTTTGTTTGAAGGACGGGCTGTGGATTGAACGCCGACCTGCATGACGCTCTACCGTCGCTCTACCGTCCAGCCTTCACCCGTCCTCCAAACAAAGACCCAAACGTCATTCCATGAAAGACACTAAATCACAGAATAATCAGCGCCACAGAATTACGAGACGTGCGCCCTATTCACCGTGCAACCAGTCCCCACCTGCGTGTGACAGGTGTGCCGTGGGTTTTGTGTGTGTGTTTTGAATACTTTAATTATTTTGTACCTTTTGCTTCTGTACCTTTGCGCCCTTGTGGGGTTTTTAATGTATGTTACTTAGCCCCGTTTGGATTGTGCAGCTTTTTCTTGAGTGTTTTTATGTATTTTGCTTTGTTGTTTCATAGGTCCCCTTTATGTTTTGCTCTATGGCGATTGTCCACTGTGTTTTTTTTATTGTGTTCAATGTGTTCAGGTGTTTGGTGGGACATTTTGTATTGTATTGTTCTGTGTTGCTTAAATGTTATTGGGTGTTTTGTTGGTGGTGTGTGCTGGAGGAAGGTTTTCTTTGGTGCTTCGGTGCCTTTGTGTTGTAATGCTTTCTTTGTCATGTATGTTGTTTTATAAATAAAAAAAGGAAGAAAGAAAATCAGTTGCTCACCACACACACACAGTGTGTGTGTGGTGTGGAGAAAAAAAAAAGTAGTTAGTAAACAGTTGATTGACAGTTGAGAGGCGGGCCGAAAGAGCAAAGCTCAACCCCCGCAAAAACACAACTAGTAAACACACACAGGTCTGGTCTTGCTATCAGATCCCTACTATTGTATATGGATATATGACATATAACCTCAACAGCTGTAAGACCATAATTCCTGGATTACGTCATGAGTGCCACGTTGTTTCCAGGTTGGTGTCTACACAGTTCCTGCCTCACTGCGTTAGTCATATATGCTTCATTTGAAGATATTTTTTTGCCTAGGGACGTTTTTCTTTCT